GCTTTTTCAGTTCAAAATCTGTTGCCCATATTCCTCCACCTTGCCTCTTAAACCCCCATTCTAAAAACCCCAAAATTCTACTTTTTCACCCTGCAACAAATTCACTATCATTCTACTCAAACCCTTGTGGCTTGTAACTCCTCACACAAGGTTGGGAATTGTTTCCATGGGCTAAAATCAAAGGCACAGGAAGGGCCAGCATCACAACAAGCTCATTTATTTAATGCCTCCTGATGACAGGAGCAGTTCCTATGGCCTCTGCATCTTCCAGCAGCAGAACTGAAATGCTGAGCAGTGTTGGATGCTTTGAGCACCCAGGGGCCAAGCAGGGTCAGTCAGTGATTTAAATACAAATGTTTCTGACAAGCTAACAGCACTGGTTTGTTGAGGAGTCAAAAAGAATAATTAAAACAAAAAAATCCTCCCCTTATCAAATGGTTCAGACTGAGTCATTTCTGCCTGAGAAAGCATAGTCACTAATTACTGCAGGGGAATGTGCGTATGCACCTTCCAAAAATTGATATGGCTGCTGAATTTCACATCCTACTCATCATCTCCCAGCAGATTCCTCAGTACTTGCTTAAAAAACCCTTCCTGAGCTGCATCTGAATGATGTAAGTGTTGTGTTAAGACAATGATTATTTAAAACCAGAATGAGATTTAATTTAGCTGCTCCTTTTACGGAAGCCAAGGCAAGAATTGTTATGACCACCCTTAAGAAGGCAGACAGACAAGAAAATGTAGCTGAGGCTTAATGAGGTTGCACAGTAATCCACACAAAAGTCCAGAAATGACTTTGTTATCCTTCATATGGCAATGATCATCCTTTTTTCCCCTTTACTCCTCTCCATCTGTTTAGGGAAGGAAGGTTTTTAAACGAGCCCTTTGTGAGGGCTCTGTTTCCCCTCTCTGGACACAATCTCTTGCCACACCAGGTGTTAGTGACCCTGTGCCTCCCAGCAGTGTGTCCTGAGCATTCAAGACAGCATTTTCAGAAACACCGTTTTTTTTAATTGATTTTGAACATTTTGAGGAATATTAGACAAGATTTTATTTGTTTCCCAGCCCACACATCTCAAACAAATTGCAGACTTCAGATGCTGGCATATTGTTTCTCCCACATCTTGCTGTTCTTTCCCACTAATCCACTGATTATGGAATGGGTTACTTATTTTTCTGCTCCTGTAAGACAGCATATTTTGCACCATTTGAGATGCAAATGTTGGAAAAATGTCTTCTATTTAAGTGCTCCCTATAATTTTTTTTCTTTGTATAGAACAAACATGGAGTTATTTTTTAGAAATACTCTTTAAGCTGGATAGATCATATAGATGGCTTATCTATTTTTCTGATTCAGGAAGTAGAACCACTGAATTGTGATGCACAAGTTAAATGAAGGAATTATGACTTCTGAAGAGTAGTTACAATTTCTGATCATGTGGAGAGCCAGGTTTGTACCAGAATTTGTGAGAATACCTTCTCACAAGCTGCCATGCTTATATTATATTATAAAATATACTTGACTTTGGCTGACATTGTATGCCAAATTAAACTTTAAATTTAAATTACCCATTACTACAGGCCTTGGTGGAGGCAAGGTTTAACCTCCAAGAGCAAGGATGGAATGCACCTGAAAACTCACAACTTAATATATAAATGTCCCCTATATCCTGCATATCAACAGCACCTCCTTCATCTTTTTTTTTTTCTCCCTCCTCTCCTTTTTTGCTACCATTTTCTTCTCCTTTTAATGTTTTTATTTTATTTTCATACTTAATTAAGTACCCTAGTGAGCACAGTAGAGGTACCATATAATTACTCCTTGCTTGTTTTGGTCTTTTTTTTCTTCTCTCCTTTTTTAACACAGAGAAGATTCTTTTATTCATCTTATACCTTTCTTTAATTTGCTGAAATTGCATGTCTCTCAGCTTGTAATTCCAAAGTTCCAAAGGAAATGAGCGACAAAGCGTGGCAGGTGACCCTGTTCCCAGAATCCTGACAAGGTGACACCACAGGAGAGGTGCCATGCTGGGATGAAAACATCCACTGAGAGCAAGTCAGGAACTTCAAGCCAGATTCCCTGTGATTTCATCCAATTCCCAGTGATTTAATCCAATCCAATTAATCCAAAGCCCTTCACTGGTCCCACAAGTGACGTTTAAGATTAAAATATGCATTGCAGGACTTGCCCAGAGCCTTGGGGAAGCTTCAGCCCTGCCACCTTTCCCTGTGTATGCACTGAAGCTATTTAGAGTGCAAGCATGTGAACCACTTGTGCTGTGTGGAAGCTGCATGTGGCACTGAGAACCTGAGAAGGCACCTCAGGTCCTGGCACTGCAGGAATAAAAACTGCATCCAGAAAAGGCAGGGAAAAGCAGCCTGGCTGAAAATGGATCTCTATGAACACAGCAGACACTGTGAGTTGCAGAAATCTGTAGGAACATTCTATCCAGGTATTTCACTTCTAGTACTTCGGCTCCTCTCTCAATTCTTGGAATGTTCACACACAGGGTGACAGCACATTAAAAATGAACACAGCTTTATTTGCTAGATTTAGATCTTATTAAATGTGCATATTAAATGTTAGCAGAATGTTTAAAAAATTTATTCTGACATTAGTGTATCATATATATCAGCAACATACATAGCAGACAAAACCATCACTCAAGTTACACAACAGTACAAGTCAAACAAGTGGTACATGTAGGATAGTCAGAAACTCCATCTATTTTCATTCCATTCTGTAGTCAGAAACTCCATCTATTTTCACTCCATTCTCTTGCCTCAAACTGACAGCACTACATAAAAAAGTAAAAGCACAGTAAAAAATTTTGAGAAAAAATACAAAAGTGTCTCATAGTAGCACTCTTCTTTTGCAGTCCTTCGCTTGGAACATACCACGCTAAACCTTCCCAAGGTAAACAACCCAAATTGTAATTGCAAAAAAATAAAAAAAAATTAAAAATCCCTGATTGTATTACACCTGAAAGGTCAATTTTGTTTTGTGTAACTAATTCTAACGAGGCAATCCATTGTTGCTTAAATTACAGTAATGGCAACACAAAACTTTATTCACTTTGGTTAAAGGACACTTTTAGATACTGAATCACATCAAAATAAATTATTCTGACAGTAAGAATCAGCACATCTCCAAACTGACCAGACCTTCCTTACTTTTCTCACTTTTTAAGAATACCTCAGGAAACTTATGTGAACCATTATAAACCCAACCATACTGATACCTTTAGTCAAAATACTGCTTAATGGCAAGTAAAGGCAAACTATTATGTAAAAAGGTGTCAAGACTAATTTTTTATGTGATATTAGCTTTTAGTATGACAAGATTCTCTTTTCAACAGTTTTTGTATACTAAGAAGTAATGCTACAAAGTATAATGAATTGTTTTTAAGATACATATTTCCTTCTAAATAAGCTGATCCCAGGGTTTTTTGCACTTTCTATTGCATGGTACAACATATACAAAACATCTGTACTGCATTAAATAGCAAGTCATCTTAAAAAATAAGATGTACAAAGTAGGAGTCAAAAAATCAATTCAAATTCAGGGTCTGCTTATCAATGCTATATCCCAAAGACATGTATTTCCTTATTTTCCACCCTCCTGCTCTTAAATAGCATTGTTTATTCACAACACACCTATTTTGCTGATATATTTTAAGGGTAGTATATTAGGACACTTTATTACTTGAAGAAACTATCTTCCATAAGTAGTGAAGAAATAGTGCATGTAACGCTGAATGTCCAAACCTGTTTTCAGCTTCACCAGGTTGTACATTTTGCACAGAAATATCCTTTTGCATCTCCTCACCTTTCTGTTGGAAGCATCTGTCTGCACTGCAAACAGTAACAACTCCACAACATGTAAATTAAGCAGTTTAATTAACAGTAGATGTGCAAGATGCAGCAGAGTGCTTTCATTGTGCAAACTGTGGTGTTGGATGCGTGATCACGACTGATGGCTGATACTCTTCTTTGGCTTACACATTAAGCAGCAGAGCTAATTTATTTACACATGCATTCCTCCAACAGATCCATCACTTCAAATATATATGAATATTCAAGAAATGATCAGTTCATCACGAACACAAATTGATTGACCAAGCAACCTTAGAGGATGGAGGTGAATAACTTACAGTAACGAGAAATGTACATCGGCATCAACTCCTGCCTGGCAGCCAAACTGTGATGTGCGCTCGAGGTAGGCACTTAATCCTTCCGATAACAACAACAGCCCCACTCAGGACATGGATTTAAAACCCTTACAACACTAAGGTTACTCACCAAGTACTCCAAGACACGGGCGAGGTTTGCTAAAAGCAAATACCCCAAGTTGTGGTAGCAGTAAACAGTACATCACCCACTGATATGGAATACAAACCTCAATTTTTATGTGTATACTTGCCAGGAAGTATAACTTTCAAAGTGCAAATAGAGCAAAATTTTCTACTCTTGTCTACCTTGTGTATTCAGCACGAGAGAACTCAACAATCTGGTGTAACCAGAGTCTGCAGTGCAGGCGTGAACCGCTCCCCACATGGCACTGGGCAGAGGTGTGCCAAGGCAGGCACGGTTTCCTAACGCTGAACAGCTCTGTCTGCAGGCTCACAGCATGCTAAAGCATGCAAGCACATCTTGGAAATAGGCACTGCCCTGCAGAGATCACTTTCACACCTCTTGCCAAGTGCAAAGAAACAAGGCACTGAGCATGGAAGCGTTGATATGTTTTAAATATACAGCAAAATCACAAAAATGCCTACCTGCTTCAAACTAGAAAATGAGGGCACATTCTTAAACAGCTGGAAGCTACTTTGCACAATAGTTATTACATATTTATAAACGCAGTAACTTTGTAGAAAAGCCTCCTAACAAAAAAGAAAAGGAAAAAAAATCCTTCCCAAAGATTCAAAGGCAGAAAAAAGAAACCCCAACAGAACAACCCCCAAGCCTTAGGATACAATGTATAAGGAAAATAGAGCATAAACATACATTATTTGGCATGCTTAAAATCTTTTGGATAAAAATCCAAGACCAAACCATTCAGCTAAACCAGCTGCTATGGTGGTCCAGCTCCCAGCCCATGGCCATGGAGTGCAGGCACACCCCACAGTGTGCATTGAGGACAGACACACACCTTTAGCCCTTTGATGGCATTCACTGGGAATCCAAACAAAAATAAATAAACAAGCAGCTTCGGCCAAAAAAAAAAAGAAAAAAGTCAAACATAATCTTCCAATGAGAGTTTTTGAGAATGAGAAATTAAATAACTGTTATTCTCCAAATCATACACATATTTTCAAAACCCACTGCAATTAGGTGATTCCACAATATCTGCATTTAGAGAGTAAACTCTTCCATAAATTGTATCTTTAGGAAAATAAATTATGGCTTTTTTTCCCTTCACTATTTTTTAATTCCCTTCACTATTGTATTAACTGAATTTTGTGCCTATAAATAATTCCAAGTGGAATTAAGCCAATATATCTTTAAAAATCAATTCCTTCTATAAAACGTATAGAAGTTCAAACCAATGCTTCGTAAGACATAGTGAATATAAAAAAAAGCCCCAAACCTTAATCCTTGTATCAGGAGTGTTCTATTTAAATTACCACATAATAAAAATAATAATTTTCAGCATTTTCCACAGCAGTGCTCCTCTGTGGTGTCCTTTTCAGCCAGCTGGGACACAGCCTGGAATGCTGCAATTAGCAACAGGGAGAGGGGCTTGGTGGTAAATGACTTTAACATGTCCTGTGAGCCCTTTGAGGTTAACAGTCCCTGTACCAGGAGTCCAAATTCTAGGATTACAGGATTACATTTACTATTCAGAGTCATGAGTAAATAAAAACCAGTGCTGAAATGACACAGTTCAGTAGATTTCCTAAACTTTGAAAGCTCAGTAAAGCTTTTAAAGAAAACTCGAAAATCTTTGGACTGAAAGAGAAGAGCTGAACTCTCCTACAGCTTTCAACATGATGCATACTGAGCAAACCACAGATAAAGAAAGCAAGAACAAGCTAAGTCCCAAAGCAGCTGGGTTTGGGTTACATTGCTCTGGACAGCTCCATCCTCCCTTCCGTGGCGATGAACTCTTTCTCTGTGGCTCGTGTGTCACCTTGGCACAGTCTCTCCTTCAGTTTTTCAAGTTCATACTCGTGTAGGATTTTTTGTGTTAAATACTTCTCACGTTTTATTTTGGCTTTCACATCTGCAGGAACATCAGGGATCATCCATGCTACAAAGAATTTGACGATGAATACAACATGCTAAAAAAAAAGAAACAAAAAAACCCACTCGTTACCAAAAGAAGCACCTCTTGTTTAATCTGACACCAAAAAGGTCACTTCTTGTTCACAATAAAATACAGTTCATTTGGCTGTCTGGAGCAATACACACCAAATTAATGTATATCTAAGAGGTGCACAAAGATTAAAATCCATCTTCTTATGCAGAAATTTTAATTCCAAAGCATTAATGACTTAGCAAACCCAAGAGGAAAGTGTCAGGGCCTGAATCTCAACCATCACTGTTTAACTCCTCTGTGTGGTTTGTTAGAAAGTTCACACAGCTGTGCTGATAACACTCAGCTATTGAGAGCTGATGAAACACAGCAGGAAAAGTGCTGAGATTAGCACTTGAACTACTTACTTCCTTTTCCCTTCATAACTTGCAAAGCAGTGGCTTAACACTGATGTGCCAGTTATCCAAACCATTAATTTAGCTGTTTTTAACCAATATACATCCCTGCAAAATGCTGTCTGGATTTTGAACAATCATTTCATAAACAGCTCCTTAATGAGAGCAAGAGTGGAAGTGCTAGACCTGGAAGCTTTAATCTCTTACACTGACATAAAGACCTTTTTTATTTTTCTGATTATTTTGATCAACACTTGCAGTCTCCTCAGCCATTTTCACTTTTCCTACTCTGAGGTCAGCTCACTGAAGTTAAAAGGCTCAGTAACAGTAATCTTTTAGGCCATGAGTACTTGATATTATCTAGGGAACAAATTGTTTTATACTCCCAGCAATTCTATTTTCTGTAACATCAGCAACTATCCAGACAAATCACAAAGTACCAATATCAGAAGGAAATTTTGTAGAGAAAATACCTCCATAATAATGATAAAGGCCAGTTTTGCAGCAAGAATGTGCCAGAACTGCATAGTGTGCATGTACTTCTTCTCATGGTCGGGAGGATATCGATAGTCTCTGTACCTGCAGGAATGACAGACATGCAAAGGTGAAACGTCACATTCAGCCTGGGACACATTACAAGCTCAGTGACACTTACAAGCAAGTACAGCTGTCACTTAAGGAACCTTTTCTTGTTTCAAATGGTCTGTTTCCTCTTGCAGAAAAAGGTTGCCTCTCGATTTGTTTCTCTCTTGTGTTTGCTTGAACACCCTCACAGCGCCAGAGCAGGGATGAGGATGTGTGATGTGAATTTTGGCCCACAGGTTACTTGTTTTTCAGCAATGCTCAAATAATACAGGGCAGGGTGATGGGATGGATCACAGGGTAATGGACACTGAACAAATGTGACACATATGAGCAGATTATGGCCTGGAGAGATGCAGGGCTTCATGAAAGGACACAGTGCATGTTCTACACCAGCTAACAAATGTAGCTGTTCCCAAAAGTGCTGGGGTGGTTGGTTTGGGGGATTTTTTGTTTGCTTTGAGGTTTTTTCATCCAATCAATACTTTTATTTTACCATTTCCAAAGTTCTTTTGCAATTATTCTAGAATCTCCAATGCTAGCATTTTTTAAATGAAAGCAGGATAGGTCTGATTTTTGGTCCAATCCGGCAAAATAAGGATTGATTTTAAATACCATATCTCATTTTCAGCTTTGGGATCTAAACACCTCCTTTATTCTGCTTTCTTGTCCATTTATTCAGCCTAAAAATCTTTGAACACATAGGCTGAAGTTTGCAACTTCAGGGACATAAATTTCCTTCCTCACTCAAAAATCAATAGTGTAATTAAGTAAACAAAAAATCCAATGAAGAAAAAGCAAAATGCAAGTTAGCAATGAGACTTTTAGTGGTGATTTTTTATGAGGTGATTGTTTTTGTTACTGGCTTGATCTCTTACCACCTCAACCATTACCTTATCAATAGTCTAAATATTACCTCTCACACTTTAGAAGGATGAGAATGACATAATTTATTTTCTAATGGTAAACTTAGATCTTAATTGATTTTTTATGCTGTATTCTATACAAAGTGACACCAACCTGCATATGACAAAGTTTTCTGGATTCTCTTTAGGTTCCTTTCCCTGAGGAAAATCTGAGATTAGAAACACTGACAAGCTGTTGTTTATGTATCCAGACATTGGTGAGTGTTCGTTTTCAAAATAAGCATAGTAGTAAACCAAACGAGGAATCATATCTGACGTGAATGCAACAATGAAAGCCTGAAAAGAAATTGGAAAAAGAAATAAGGGAAGTGGCACACAAATTTTGGGAGCAGATTTATAAAGGTGTTGTGGCTCTGTGACTCTGGCATTACCCAGAATCTCTTAAGAAAGGATGAGGAGCATTACTGGGGTATTTCACCTTGGTAAAAGATGCTGATTGCAGCCTCAGCACATTTTTCCTGGAAGTCTGAGATACTCCAGGTGCTGAGGTACTGTGCTGCTATGGCAGGACCTGCAAGTGGGTTTGTTGCCCGAGACACACTAAAAAGAGGCACCTCTTGTGCCCAGCAGGCTGCTTTACAGCATGTTTATATTGAAATACTGGCACAGCATTTAGTTACCAGTTTATAACAAATACTTGGAGCCACTGGTCCCACAGGGGCAGCCAGAAGCAGAGCAGAACTCCCACCGAACAGGCCTCAGCAACAAGGACAAAAATGCATCTGAACCACAGGATTCATCCACCTTTCCTGTCCCCTCCGGGCAATCAGTGTGCTTCATCAGACCAAGCCTCATACTGGCCATGCCATTCCAAAAGGCTGGAAAACACAGACAACTGAATGAAAGGTTATGGCCAAAAAAATGTGGATGGGGAGCTGCACACTGCCAGCAAATGGACAGGTCAGACCACTGAAATGGTTTGATGGTATCTTTAACAAGATAAAAGGTTATCTTTAACACAGTAAAAGGTTAACGTGATACAGTGTTGACGAAGGAGAAAAAGCATCAGCTGGTTTTTAATTCTTCGCATTTTGAGTACATGAAGAATCAGTGTAGATGCAGCACAGCCCAGTGGTTTTGGCTCTCCAGCTTGAGATTTCCCAGCCAACACATCACATACCTAAGTAAGTAAATGAGTATTAACAAACTTACATTGGTGACAACAGACAGGATGGCCATGCCATTGAGGATTTCCTGCCACACTCCTATGCTATGTGCTTTGGCAGCCACAGGCCTTCTGTACTGAGTGGTCAGCTTCCAGGAGTCTACACGAATCTCCAGGATATTGTTCATCAGAGCAAGAAGGGGAGCCAGGGGAAAGGACGCCACAAAGAGAGTAATGAATCCAAACTGAATGACTGCAAGAGAGCAAAACAATGTGACAAAATCTGCCCTTCCAGAAGTATCCTCAGAGTGACAGGGCAGCCAAATGGCAAACCCCTGCCAGGCTGCACAAATCATCTTCAGCCCTGGTCTGAGCCAAGTGACAATCAGCCCCAGTGCCAAGACATCTCCAGTCCCTTCAGGTGCCATTCAGCAGCACCCACAGAAAGGAGCATTTGGATCCTGTGAAATGATGCTGCCAGCAGTGGAATATCAATCCTTTCAGGGTGCTGCAGTTCTCATGTGAATGGTGTGTAACTGTAGGGGAATGGGGATGTATTCATCCATCAAATTTCTCAACTGTTATCAGGTCAGTTTTGTTCTCTTGCAGTTTGTACCATCGTGCTGTTAATTTACTTATCAACTACGCACCTCACAACCTTATCTCCACCTATTGCTACTGATTTAATCAAAACATTCATAACAATTCTATATGCAACACTTCCATTGGGGAATGTTAACATTAGTTTAAGAACTGTGAATAGAATATACAAATGATCCTGTTGTTACCAAAATGAAGTATCTCAGTACAGAATGTGATAATCCTCAGTACACAGCCAATACTGCCATTTTATTTCAAATAATGGAAATAGAACATTTTTTCCTGGTTTAGGCAGTATATAAAAAAAATTCCCATACACCAGTCATTCACTCTTCCATGATTTCAGTAAGTTCTTCACCTCAGATAAGCAACAAAATTCCTGCTGGCTTAGCAGCCCTTGGACAGTGCTGCAGCATAGTTCTGATTCTGGAAGAGCAAGGACATGGCTGGCAACAGTGTATTCTGAGTGTATTGGTTTCACAAGACCACAGCCCTGCATCAACCAAAGTGATACTAATGCTCAGCATCTCTAGAACACTTCAAACTATTTCTGCAGAAATAAAACAATACAAAGGTTCATTTCCCAACAAAATGTATCCAAATATTAACTTCTTTAAGGTATCCTTTAGATTTAGCTTGGCTTCAGTTTAGGTGTCAGTTTCTCAGTGCTGCACGCTGCTGTTAGAAGCTGACATGCTCAGGTTACCTTTGCAAAGCCACATTCCCTTGCCCACACTCCCTCTGCTGGTCCAACAGACCGAAGGGAAGCACTGAGCAGTGCAAGACTAAAGCTGAAGGGATTCTCCTCTAGCCAGTTCATAGATCTCATGCCTGCAGTACCCATCCTTACAGCACATTTGGCACTCATCCCATACTCAAAATTTCCACTGACATCAGCTAAGAATATGCTTTGGAATGAGAAAAGAACAGACACAGAGGCAGCTGGCTGCACTGAGAATAATGTCCTCCATTCAAATGAGGAAAACAAAAAGTCTTTGCAGTGTTTCTGTGAAATACCCAGCAGTTCAAGATGCAAAGACAGCTTTTTTTTTTTTTTAAATTGGGCTGACCTATTTAATGATTCCCAGCAGTTAATTGTCCTGCTATGCAGATGGAAGTGGTGGCATCAACCCACAACAATTAATTGAGAAAATGTTCTTTTGGAAGTGTTGGTACAAGGTGTCCTGTCCTCAATTCCAAATGTGTAATTGTAAACTTACCCATTTCTAAATATTCATAGAACAGGCCTAAGGCTCCAAATGTCTGCAGATCATGGTCCTGCTCCCAGCGACTGTATAAATTCTCAGGATTATTTCTGGCTTTCCGACGGCCCCACCAGTTACAAATCCAGCTGTATGTGCAGAAAAATGTTAACAACGAGAGCAGATCAGATTGGCTTGCTTGGTTAGAGCACAGTGCTAGCAACACCAAGCTTGTGGGTTTAGTCCCTGTACAAGCCATTCATTTAAGAGCTGGACCTGATCCTTGTGGGTCCTTTCCAACTCAGAATATTCTGTGAAGTCAGAATCACAGAATCACCGGGTTGGAAGAGACCTTAAAGATCATTGAGTCCAACCCAGCCCCAACCCCTCAGCTGCACCCTGGCCCCCAGTGCCACATCCAGGCTTTGTTAACACACCCAGGGATGGGGACTGCACCACCTCCCTGGGCAGCCATTCCAGAGCTTTATCACCCTTTCTGTACAATACTTTTTCCTGATATCCAACCTGTATTTCCCTTGGTGCAGCTGAAGGCTGTGAGATGGGCGCCTCAGTGTCAGATTCCACATCTCCACATGAGAACACCTTCTCACAGCCTTCCAAATAATTCCCATAATGCTTCTAATCCTCAAACCTGAACTAATCTCCAGTATCCTCATATGCAAGTATAGTTTCAACCAAAACATTAGACTATGACTCTAAAAATAGAAGTTAAGCCCTTCTTACCTGCCGAGGAGAGGTAAAACCAGTGAGAACTGCTAACTCTTGTATCTGAGTATAAAACCTCAGCCTCCTTACTTTCAAAGGATACTTTCAAAGGATAATAGTAACCAGTGCCAGAGAGAACTTACGGAACAATGGCCTCCTGGATGTTTCCCCAGATCTGTTTGCCAGCCATGACTATGGTGAGCTGTGTCGTCAGCTCTATCAGGCAGCCTGCAGGATCACACTGAAGGAGACAAACTGAGGGTCAATGGACATGGATAATGGGTATTATCACCCAGATAAACTATATTTTAGTACTGTATAAATGCAAGAAGGGAGATCTTAAAACTTGTAAGGACAATACTTAATTTCCATGTGGACTCTCAGGAAGGGCTTTAAGTGTTTCAAGCGTGAGACAAAACACACACCAAAACACAGCAAGGTGAATCTTTTGCACTCAGCTGAGGAAGCATCAGCTTTAGGATAGCCAGCTGAGATGCAGCTCAGTTCAGACCAAGCCTGCAGCTGGAAATTCACAACTGTGCAGACTGAAGGGAACAATTCACCTCAATGAAGAAAACCTTACCTCCTCATTTCTCCAGCGACTAAACATGTATGTGTAGCCACCTGGGTAACCAACAAACTTCCCTTTGAAGAAGGCCACATAGAAGCAGGATGAATAGTAGTTGACAAACTGGAACAAAAACATCTTCATAGTGAGCCTGTTCTCATACTCCATGTGAGTTCTGGGGATCTCTGTGAAACCAGAAAACAATAATTTTATGTTCCTTTATTCCGTTTAAAAGGATACAGATTCACAAACATTCGTCATGCACAGTGATCTTAAAAGAAAAAAAAAGAGGAAAAGAACAACTACAAACACTTCAGCAGATGGAGTTCCTGCTTTCAGACACCCTACCCTCACTTTACAATGCAGTGTTTGATGCAGGCAGGCAAAGGAAATTCATATTTAAAACCCCCATAAAATTCAATTTCCCCTTCTTTGTCCTGCCCATTAGCACTTGTCCATCCCCAAATATTACACTATTTTAGGAGATCTGAGATGAATCTCAAACAGTAACTAGAAAGATCTCCTGTAGTATGAAGATTTCACTGTTGGCAACACACAATTATTTTATTCTTTGTGGTAGAGAAGTATGTTACAATATTTTTCCCCAACCTACTGTATGTGCATATCATTAAAATCAGCAGAAGCTGCATGGTCCATGTGCCTCTGAAAAATAAGGCTCATACAGGGCAGAAGAACAGGGACATCTTGGAGCTACTGTAAACCACCAAACCTTTGCTTAGGGTTTTGCTGCTCATTCTCTATCACATTTATATTTTTGAAGGCAGCAGGAAGCCCTAAACATATTATTGCCAAATGTCCCGTTAAATGATAACATATAACCAATTCAAGTTGGGAAGTAGCATAAGAAAATACACCACAAACATTCAAGTTCTTCTCAATTGGTGAGGACATGGCAGATGTGTTGAAGTCATCTGCCTTATTGTAAAGTTGTTTCATTTAACTGAGTAAACTGTTTCCCAGCTTGGTGTAAGTTTGCATGCCAGAAGAACATGAGGTATTTACTGGGAACCTGACATCAGAGTGCAGCACAGAGGAGGCAGCTCTCAGGTCAGGCAGCCTGCCCAGCCTGCAGCTCCCTAAAATATTTTTATTTTCAGTGAGCTGTTAAAATATTGATGTGAGGCACACAACGTTCAGAGCACCAGAGGCAGGTTATACCTGCTTGTCTGAACACCAGATCTGGCCTCAGCATTTCAAGGAGTGAACAAAGTGTGGGCAGACTCTTCTGACAGCCCAGGCCACTGAGGGGGGCAGCAGTCCAACCCACACCACTGAACTGTAACCCACAGACCAATTGGTGCTGCCACTTGAGAAACTATTCATCCACATTTGAAAATCAGCAAAATAACACTGCTGAGCCTTCACGCTTACAATTCTTGCTCCTCAAGAAAGAAAGATTAAAAAAATTATGATTTTGTGTTTGTTTCTGTGTTTGTTAGGAGCAATTTTAGTTAATACTGGCTCTGTTTCAGTTTGGTCTGATTTGGCCAAGAGAGATAAGCAATACAGATCACAGAGATGGTCCATGGTAAATGAAAATAAACCAAATGCAACATCCCTTTAAGACTCTGCAAGGAGCACCTTTCAACTCTTGACTTGACTTGCAAGATCTCACAAAAAAAAGATCAACCAACTGTTTTTATGACAAGTGCACAAACTGCAAGCACCTAATATTTTCAGCTCCCCTCCCCAAACTGCAATTATTTCTTTCTATTAAACACCTTCAGGGACTTTTACCTCTAAATCATTAAGAACCAATAAAATGAAATAATTTTTAAAAAATAAATGTCTAAGAAGGGCTCTCAGGAATGGTGTTTCCAGCATGCAAGCAGAAATCAAACCCAAAACACACTCCAAAAGCAGGCACTCCTTCTGGGCCTCCAGCTCTGCAGTGGGGGTACTGCTATCAATAGCTACTGCCACAATAACACATGTTGGGCACAGCTTCTCATCCTGCTCAGCCTCTGCCTTCCATCTTTGTAAGTCCAAATCTGTACAGCCAGAGCTAAAGGAAACAACATGGAAAATGTACTATCCCATCCTTTCCCCCAGACTAAGAGTCATTATTTAGTCTTAGTCTCATTTAGTCTCATATTTAGTCTCATTATTTAGTCTTTTTTTCTTGTAAAGATAGCTGTGATTTATTTTTTCAAATACATTTGCAGGATTTCTAATTGAAATACTGCTAGCTCAAGCCAGTCTGATCTTGCTTTGGTGATTCAAGATGACGTTGAGCTATGTTCAGGTCTGTGATTGTAAACTAGCTCTAATATAAACAAGCACTATTTGAGGAGAAACTAGGTTATGAGACCTACTGAAATGCAGGGAAAATGTTCAGTATAGCCATGGATATTCCTGAACTATAGAGCTCCCATTGTGCCTGAGCTGAGAACAAGAGCATGGAACACCTTGATGCTGTGAATTTTCAATGATTCCTTCCAAGCTTTGCCTTCAATTCCCCCTGCTTACCCATATCAGTAATCCAGATGGCTATTCTCTCACAGAAGAAGCTGAGGATCATGATGATGACAAAACTGAGGCAGGAGGCAGTGACTAAGAGTAATTATTTAGTCTTAGTCTCATTTAGCCTCATATTTAGTCTCATTATTTAGTCTTTTTTTTTTTCCTTGTGAAGATAGCTGTGATTTATTTTTTCAAATATATTTTCAGGATTTCTAATTGAAATACTGCTAGCTCAAGCCAGTCTGATCTTGCTTTGGCGATTCAAGATGATGCTGAGCTATGTTCAGGTCTGTGATTGTCTCTGTGAACTAGCTCTAATATAAACAAGGACTATATGAGGAGAAACTAGGTGATGAGAGCTACTGAAATGCAGGGAAAATGTTCAGTATAGCCATGGATATTCCTGAGCTATAGCATGGAACACCTTGATGCTGTGAATTTTCAATGATTCCTTCCAAGCTCTGCCTTCATCCAGACCTCCTGCTTACCCATATCAGTGATCCAGATGGCGATTCTCTCGTAGAAGAAATTGAGGATCATGATGATGACGAAGTTGAGGCAGGAGGCGGTGACAGAGGTGGCCAGCTGCGGGGTGAGCACGCCGCTGATGGGCTGCAGGGTCTGGGTGTTCTCCATGAGGCTGGCGAAGGCGGCGTACACCGCCAGGCGGTACACAATCACCGCGATCATGCTGGCTATGATCAGGGACACCTGCACAAAGGGCACACCTGAAACACACCTGCAGCCTAGGATAGCCGTTCACTACAGCTATGTGCATGCAGCTTTAAAAACTAGATGTAAACCATCACACTTTATATTTTTTGAATTTTATTCTTTGTGGGTATGAGTTCAGCAGCACTGAAATGCAAAGTACGCAGGCAAAAATACTTAGTTACGTGATGTACATTAAAACCAACAGAATTATTTTGTTAACATAAGAAAAGCCGACAATTTAATACCAGTACCTGAGAGCGCAGAGAAGTATGGGCGGGAGATGGAAAGGACAAGTTAGATTAAACTGCCCTTGTCACAGGGCTTGCAAGGGTTGCAGGATGAAGACAGACGAGAATGCTGACCTCATGTTCAGAAGGCTTGATTTATTATTTTATAATATGTATTACATTATGACTATACTAAAAGGAATAGAAGGAAAAGTTCTCAGAAGTTAGCTAAGCTAAGAATAGAAAAGGAATTCAGTAACAAAGGTCTGTGTCCCAGTAGAAAGCAAGAACAGCTCTGCCGTGAGTGTCAGTAAATCCAAACATCCACAGGAGACCAATCACAGATCCACCTGTTGCATTCCACAGCAGCAGATAACCATTGATTACATTTGTTGCTGAAACTTCTCAGCTTCAGCAGGAAAAATCCTAACGAAAGGATTTTAATGAAAAGATGTCTGTGACATGCCCTCTCTGAAACTCACTCTGTATTCATCATTGTGAATTCTTTTGTTTGCCTTACCACAATTTTTTGGTGCGTCTGTTAACATTGAATAAATCACACAGAAAGTTATCCCCATGCTAAAATGTCCAATCAAATTACTAATTAATTCTCGGGTTTCTGTGGTTAAGATGATCTCCAAGGCATTAGAAACTCTTTTTTTCCCAGCCCCACAATCAAAGAGGAAGTCAAGATTCCGCAGCTTTGCTTTCCAAGGCTGTTTATTTTCTTATCTTTTACATTCTTTCTCTAACCTGCTGAGATCTGTCCAGCAGGTCAGTCAGTGGCACAGTCCCTGCCCTTGGGGTGGTGCTGGCTTTTTATACTAAGAACTACCTGTGCTTTATTTACAATAATTTTCCAATACCCATCACCTATGTCAGACAGTCTGTCTGTACTCTAAACCAATCCAGAAGTGTCACCATCACAGAAGATGGAGGACAAGAATAAGAAGAAGGACAGGACACACCCAGATTGCTCCATCTTGCCTCTTGAACCCCCATTCTAAATCCCCAAAATTCTACTTTTTCACCCTGTGACAAATTCACTATCATTCTGCTCAAACCCTTGCGGCCTGTAACTCCTCACACAAGGTTGGTAATTGTTTCCATGGGCTAAAACCAAAGGCACAGGTGTCTGTGACTCTGTGCCAAGGTCTCCGAGCCCCTGCCAGGGTCTCCAGTCCTCCAGGACACCCAGAGCAATGTCCTGGGTCCTGACAATTAATGACAGATTTCCAGTGCCCTTTTTTAAAAAAAAAATATCAGAATTGAAGTGCACTTCAAATGACAGCATGCAATCTGCAGAACAGTAATAAAAGCATGTGTTATCATGATGATTAAAACCAATTTGTGTTAATGTGATGATTAGTAATGAACAGAATCTCTGATACACGCCAAAATGATGACTCAAAAAAGGGTGCTCACCCAGAACAGCACTGTGGCTCCTGAGATGCAGAATCGCACAGCCTGGCTAGTCAAAGGCAGATAAGGCTCCATCTCCTGAAACAGTCAAGTACAGCACAGCCCATGTTATTCCCACATCTCACTCTAACATCAAGCAGCACACAGAGCTCTCACCAGCTGTGTGAGAAGTGCTCACATCCGAGGGAAACCATCCAGAACCCTGCCCCTCTCCAATGGCAGACAGAGCACAACTCTGAGTGTGTGGGGGTGGCGCGGGTGGGGCAGGGCAAAAGGATCAGGACAGAAGCAGCCATCAAACTGCTACAAGACAGTCAGGACCTGGTAGTACAAGTAGTACCATGGTTAAACTTTGGCAAAATAATCAGTAGCTAAAGGAAAAAGATCAACTTCCTGAGATAAGCAGGCCACAACAATTACTGTAATGCTAGGTTAGCAAACAGCTCTGAGTCCACAAAGGGACTCCAGTTTTATAAATTCTTCATGCTGAGATCCCTTCAAACTTGTCATTTGGATGTACCAGTCAGACAGTGCTTTTCTCCACTCCTTCAATTTCATTTTTTTTTTTCAGTAGAAGTTATGGCTATGAATGTAGCTGCCAAGCTCTGCTGCAGCACCAGGCAACTGGGTGATGCCAGCATCCCCAGACAACACAGGAACAATTTTCAAAGCTCACACAGCTTGTGCAACCAATTCTAGTTCCTAAAACATCAGAGTACATGTTCTATGAAAGAATCTTCTCTTTGAGAACTAATGCCAGTGGAAGAAGATATAGTGAAAAATAACCTGGATTTAATAAATCTGTGAGACAAGGCACTGTGGAATGCTTAGACTCCTCTTGAGCAAAGTGGCATTGAGTACTACAGAAACTGCAATCCCAAATGTAATACAGGCAGTAATGTGCAATGACACAGACTAAGCTTGAATCAAATGCTTCATTATTTATGTAGATTACAATTCTATTGTGATCAGCAAATCCAGATTTTAGCTACGATCTAGTTAGACACTTCAGCACCATGAACAAGTATCTAAATGACAGCCTTAAGATCAGCAATTTTGGTTTCAGTGCACTTGAAACTTTGAATCATGAATAATGATGAAATAATTTTCTGAGTGAAGCAAAACCAGCTGTAGAACACAAAGTCACTGTCCTGTATTCACATAATTTTATTGGTTCCTGCAGAATTAACTTATTTGAAAGCACTGGCTTTTCATGTGTTCACTATGGGACATGCTCTAACAGAAGGAAATTACTATTTCCTGTACAGGTTAGGCCAAACTTAATTGGGTACTGATAAGGATCACTGATAAACCCTGCTGCAAAAAAAGCCTCTGAAAAACCACTGAGACAGTAAATTGAAATGTCATAATACAAAGGCTTGTACAATCATTGAATTTTTATGGCAATTGTTAATGCATATTAGAAAGTACAGAGGAGAGCAGCATCTCACACTGAGATAAGAGAAGTGTATTACAGTCCATTCCTACTTCCTAAATCAAGTTCACAAAACCCCTTCTCACCTAAGGGATTTGGACCAATTTAGAGAGAGAACAATCTTCTCCCTCTATTCTTTAGTATAGTTTAGTATAACATTCTTTTATGTAACACAGTATCATAAAATTAACTAACTAAATAATTACATTAACTTTCTAAAAACATTTCATAAATTAGCTTTCTAAGAATCTGGAGTCAGATTCATTCATTCTTCCCAATGATGAGGTACTCAAACTACCACAGGAGGGTGGGAGACGTTTGAGCCTGAGCATACACAGGGATGTAAACCAGCAAATAATACAGAACTGGCATGTGTTTGCAATTAGTAGAGCTAACTAATGAAAGTTGATTTACCTGAACCTGTTTTCCTGAACAGGCAGAGAGTAATGCTTCAGGAGAGCATTAAACACAGTGCACTGTTATCAAAGAGCTCTGTGCAACGTACATAGCACCAGTTACAGCAGCAGAATTAATGCCGTGTATGTGGAGGGGGAAAAACTCTCTCTCATGAGAAATAAGATCAGTATATGTATTTCCTAATGATTAAAGAAACAAGCCCTGAAAGACAAGGTTATTGTTTTAGAACAGACTCTTCCTCCACAGTCTGGCTAAGCTTCTATTTTTTTCTGAAGACTGTGTTATCTAAGTGTACTTAGGACAAGTGACAATAAGCTATTTATATGAAATTCTGTGAAAGGGAAAAGATGACTTAAAAATACATCAAATGGGTGTGGTAGATATTGTGCTGGAATACAACCAGCTGATAATGAAATTTGTTAAATAACTCCTACCTAAAACAAATTTAAATGAAAACAATTAACACCTAATAATTATATAGAGTGTTTAACAGAGTTAGTAGGGTCACTAACTGTATCTCAATTACATTCAAGAGAAAGGACTTTGGCCACTTTCATCCCTCTGGTGTTCCCCAAACAAAGTGGTTGAGTATCAGAAGCTAAACCACAGCTACACCAACTTATTATCACTTTAGATCACAGTGACTGCTTCTTCATATGTTCTATGGGGATAAAAGAATGAATGGTTTTAAAGGCATGAAAGTTTCAGAGGCTGCTACCCTGAATTGTGAAAGATGCAGTAAAAAGACATAAAAGCTATTAACTTTGCCCTTATTTTCCTGATTTAATGTATCAATTTCCATTTTACAAAACTTTCAGCAACAACTGGATTTGCACACACGTCAACACAGCATGTTCATACCTGAGTTACAGGATTTTTCTTCTTTTGGGTACATTTTGCCTCGTACTCAGGCCTCAGCTGGAGCTGTTGCTGTTCCTCTTCAAAATCAACCAAATCCCATTCATATTTCAGTCTTGCTTGCCTCCTCTTCCAGAACTCCAAGAAAAGTGTAACTGCAATTTGCAAATGTTAGAAGAGAGTCAAGGAAGAAGTGAACAAGTTCATGAACCAAGTTAAACATCTGCACTGCTTCTTCTCTGTGGTTTATCATTACAGTGTGACTCACTCATTTTTACTGACTACCAACTATAGTTCACAGATAAGACCCCAATATGGATCCAGGGATTTATCAGCTGATTGAATTCCAGAATTGGATGACAAGGAAGATGCCAAGACAAGATGTGGGTATTTCCATGGTTATGGTGACCATGTTCAATCAACTACTCTGTGTATGTAAAAAGCAACATGGAATTAAGAAAATAACCTAATAATTCAACTAATTACTGTGTATAAACCTGTAACACATAAATATTACAATATTACAGCTTTAAAGTAATATGGTCAAACACTTCTGTTGTTTTTTGATGCTTATTTGATATCATGGTGTTCCAGGGTGACTTTATGATACTGAATTGTTCCCCCATTCTCTGAAAAATCCCTTCGCCCAGGATTTTCCTCCTGGGAAGCTGAGAAGCCTCAGAGAAAAAGGAAAACATAATAATTAAAATTAAAATAAAGATCTGATTTGCTTCTTGTGTGTTTTGCTCCTTTGGAATGTGTTTGGAGATTGTTTCATTGGTTTCCTGTGAGCTGTTTTGGCTCTTTGGCCAATCAGGGCCAAGCTGTGTCCGGATTCTGGAAAGAGTCACGGGTTTTCATTATTATCTTTTTAGCCTTCTGTAAGTATCTTTTTTGTATTCTTTAGTATAGTTTAGCATAGTATTCTTTAATAATATAGTATCATAAAATAATAAATTAGCCTTCTGAGAACATGGAGTCAGGTTCATCATTCCTTCCTGCCATGGGTACTCAGCAAATACAACAGCCCAGAAATAAGTTTTGTGCCTTTAAAGCTAGATCCGAGAGCAAAGGGGGGAGAAGGAAAAGGGGTGGAATTTTTTCAGGGCTGTATTCAAAAACCAGAGCAAAGAGCTTCAGCTCTCTCTGTCTCACAGACTGTGCTGTCTGCAGCACGGACAGGGAGCAGGAGAAGGCTCTCCTTGGCTTTTAGTTGGTTTTTTAGCTGGCTGAGGCAGAAAAGCTCCCCAGACTGTGGCTTTTCTTTCCCTTGGAGCTGCTCTGGACCGAAAACCCAGAATAACACCTGGAGCTCATGGCTGTGGCCCACTGGGGCCGGGATGCAGCATTTCCAGCACAGGAGGGACTGGGCAGAGACAGAGAGAGCTGAGCCACAGCCCCTGACAAGGACTGGCTGAATTTGCCACCCTTCAGAACAATGAGAGCTTACATTGTTTAATATCCTTCATTTTTCCATGCCTGTGAATACTTTGTTTGTTAAATGCTTTTTTTCCACTTTTCTCAAAGGAGATTTATGTCTCCTGAACTGGTGGGGGAGAGGCCACTTGAATTTGCTTTCTAGACTGACCCCTTTGGAGGTTTTCACCCAAATTTGCCCTAAACCAGGACACATAGTCATTTTAAAGACAGTGAATGTCTGATGATTTTTATGCAATCAAGAGCTGGGCTGGCCTAAGAATTTTTTAAGACATTAGAGGGAATTGATTTAATATATAAACAACTATAAAATTTATAATACTATATAACATCTTAAGAGCCCTTAGTAAATTACTTGAAAATGTCAACATTTTGTAATCTGATTGTTCTTATCTGAACTGGGGAAGTTTTATGGCTTAGACAAACACAGGAAACCTTATCTTCTGCAGTTCTAAACTCTTTGGCTGGTACTTCCTGAATGACTAATCCGGGTCATGCAAATGCTAGCTCTTAGACACCAAGAAAAGTTTAGTAAAACAGCCACACAACAAAAATCTTATTTAGATTTTAAATAATAATTCTGTATGAAAGAACTGAGTGATTAGATCCTCTGATAAAAAATACACATTTTCTATTAGCACACAAGAATCTTTGTGAGTTAATGGAATATCTATACAAGCTGAACATTTAATGATGACATTTCATACAACCAGTATGAAACAAGAGAATTGTATTTAAGGAAATAAGAAGCAATAACTATGCTATCCAGAATTTATAAACCTTCACAGAGTTGAAGAAAAGAATATGCATTCAACACATTGTTTCTAAAAGTCTGAAGAGGTGTCATTGGTGTGAAACTATGATTATAGATGTTGTGGTGTTGTGGGTCCCAGGACAAGGTGAGAGATGAGAATTGACTCCAGGGATCTCAGAAGGCTGATTTATTATTGTATTGTATTTTATCATATCATATTAAATGCTATACTAAAACTATATTAAAGAAAGAGAAAGGACACATCAGAAGGCTTGACAAGAATGATAATAAAAGCCTGTGACAGACTCAATGGCTGTGATTGGCCATTAATTAAAAACAATTCACATGCTGGGTAAACAATTCTCCAAATCACATTCCAGAGCAGCAAACCATGGAGAAGTTGAGGCTTCTCATCTTGCCAGGAGAAGAAATCCTGGTGATGGGATTTTTCAGAAAATATCACAGTGACATATAGAGGCCAGAAATCCACCTGTTTCTGTGTCATCAAAGCATACTACAGTGCATGAAGTTCACTGGAGTAGATCCAATGAATTTCCTCACCCCAGAAGTACAGCAGCAGTGATGGACCACAATCCATCCAGTGAAAGGGCACAAAACACCCCCACTGATGATGGGAAGGGCTGAGCACAGAGAACTCTTATTTGGGCTGCATAAGGTTGGATCCCTCTGGTTACTAAGGAAAGAATCATATTTTAGCAGTTCAGAGTACACTATGCTTATGTGATTCTTATGGTATCCTAGATGCCTGCCTGGGTTTTTTTAAGTCTTAATTCCTCTGTAACTTGAAGTTTTTTTCACTCATCCATCATTTCAGCATCTAAGACAGGATATTAAGGTGAAGCCATTATTCCCCTTCTTCCCACTTCCAGTGTCCCTCAACAGCTTGGCCGAGATCTCCTTCTATTGCTTGACATAAAACTTATCAAATGTACTCACCCCATATACCCATGAAAATGGCAAAAAAAAGAGTTGCCACGTTGTCAAACAAATGGGAATACTGCAAGAGAAGAGCCAGAACAGGTCAGTACCAGGAGAGTTTTCAGGATGAACAAAAAGGAGCAGAGGCTGCAGAACCAGACACAGACCTGGGAGGACTCGCAGGTGGTGTTCAGCCTCCAGTACTCACAGTCTCGGTCACAAAGGGGGCACATGATGATCTCTCCTCCAATTGCAGGGTCACAGATCTCTTTGCTAGGCAGGAAAACATTGTAAAGTATCTGTTTCCACAGCATCTTAAAAGCTGTTATATGAAATTTATTTAGAAAATAAATAGGAGCTTCATTTGTTCAAAGCTCAACATTTGCAGCTTCACAGCAAAGATGCCACATCTTGTCACAGTCACTGGTATCAACCAGGGGCTGCTCAGGGAAACCCAAGAGTGAAGCAGCTGCTACAGGAGTAGAATTAATAAATTTCCTTGATTTGCGCTTTTTGGCCCTATCAGCAATGAATCAGGAGCTGTACTGTGCATGCACTGCTTCCAGGCAAGATATAAACCATGTTATTTCTCATCAGGTTAGCAAGGACATCAAAACATCTTCTCTAAAAGCAGAGAGACCACTTCAGCTTTGATATCTGCAGTGAAATTTGCTACTTCAATTTAATGACAGTGGGTAAAATTTAGAATTCTGTGATAGTCCTTTGGCATCCAGAGAAATCTCAATATGTATAACAGTATTCCCAGATGAATTCTTAACCTGGCTAAAATACAACTCTCAAAATTACATTATTCAAAAGAACAGGTGAGAATTTTAACTTGTTAGTCATCTTTTATAGTTAAAACTCAACATTTTATAGAAACCTTCTTACAGAAAACAGTAAGCAATGAGAAGACAGCCCTCTCTTCCTCTCCCCAGCCCCAAATGCTGAATACAACAAATCTTTGGACTTCTGATAAAAGAAATACTATGCTTGCTTAAAAAAACCACCAAATTGTGACTTCTAAGATACTGGATCCCTCTTTGGTGGGAGAACACTGCTGATCTGTTTTACTCATGCTTTGGCTTAGTACAAATGATGCCCTACACAAAAAGGCCAGACTGCTCTGCAAGACAGATTAAATAGGCAAGCTTGAGGCAACAATAAACACTCAGTTTTGAGAGATCTAAGGGGTACCCTCAGGACTTCATGTATTGCAGCTTCTCCAGTGCAGAAAGCTATGGCCAACAAAATATTGCTTTTCCCCTACAAATTGAGTCTTACTAACTAATAGTCACAAGTTCTGCATTAGTGGTCCACCACCTTCACAGTCAATAAAGACAGCTGAAGAACAAATCTGTCTGATTTAAAGCTTTAAAAGCTTATTACGCGCTGAGTAACAACAAGAATAATTTTTTTTTGCAAGAATAAAATTTTCACATTACTTAGCTTTTGCTAAGAGATTTTCAATGTTATACTTACCTGCTCATATTTTCATCCATTGTAAACAAGCCATAAAGAAAACAGATTAAGCCAACAACTGCTGCAAGGAATAACATCTCGGTGTAGAATCCTAGCCAGGCAAAATAGATTCCAATCTTCTCACCATAGTACTTTCTGAATTAAAAAAAAAAAAAAAAAAGCAATTAATGGGAACACAAAGCAAAATTTCAAAGTGTAGTAGAGCAAACCGGCCAGAATAAAAGTGAAATACTTGGCAAAATTCACTTTTAACAGCAGAGTAAATGCCTTGAGGTACTGTGGAAAATGAGGGCTAAGACTGGCCATGAGAAGTTACTCAAGGTGTAAGAACCAGGTGAATGATCAGGAAATATGGCCTCTTTTGTCCCTTTTTTCCTCCTGGCAGAAACTAACATTAAAATCCCTCTTTTCTCTTTTCTGCAGAACAGTGTAGGTGAAGATTTACTTTCTGATTTTCCCAAGGAGTTACACAAATGAAACAGCACAACAGTTCTGACCATTTGGTTAAAACAAATAGGTAATCCACAGAAATACAACCACTTGTGTTACAAACACAGAACTGTAACCTGTGAACAAAGCAACATTCTGCTGTATCACATCAAAAAATCAGAGATCTTAAGTCAGTTTAAATTTGGGGTTAGAACTAAGAATCAAGCTTCCAAACTGATGTTATCAGTATTTTGTCAAGTCTGTGTTGAAATTTTGACATTTCAAATAAACCTTTAACATTTTTTTGCAGAGACTGATTAAAAAATCTGAGGTATTCTATGAATCTGTTTCTTCAACAGCTGAATTATCTGTAATATACCTAACCTCAGGAGGATTGGCTAGATGGAAAGAAGCTTGATTTGAGAAAAAGCATTTTGCCCCTTCTCAGTAGAAAGCTCTGTCATGTCCTCCTCAGACACAGTGTCCAATTAATATCCATTGAATCTTAAAAGAGGTAAAGATTTCCCGATGCTTTAAGCTTTAGCTTTTATATTTTTCAGATTCTGTGCTGCTTTAGTGTGTAGCTCTGAGCTTCATATTAAGCAATGGTAAGCGCTCTTCACAGAGTAGGGAGATAATCAATCCTTTTCTAGCTTGGGACAAAGGACAAATGATACAAGTTTCAGGCCCAAGATCATAAACAACATGGACTGAAGAGTGTAAACAAGCAGGATGGGATTTCATAACCTAAAGTTATAATTGGACAATTAACTCCAATATGCAAATGGACCAGAACTTATAAAAGTGTGAGACCTCGTGAGCAGTCGTGCATTTTGTGACCATTTTGGTTCCTCTTGGGTGTAGCCCTGACTGGACTCTTGTGCTGCCCCAGGTGGATCCATTAAGGCTTTTTAATAAACACCTACTTTAACTCTGGGTAGCCTCTGTTGTACATCAGCCTTCTCAAGGCATCACTGCTAGCAGGATCAAGCTAGAGATGAATACACACTGTATTACACTTTTTAATAAACACCTATTTTAACTTCGTGTAGCCTCTGTCCTAGGATCATTGCTAGCAGGATCACACTACAGATAAATATACACTTATTACTTTTTTACAGTTGAATGAATATACACTTTTTTTACATTTGAATGAATATATCCTAGCAGGATGAAGCTACAGATGAATATACACTGTCTTACACTTTTTAATAAACACCTACTTTAACTTTGTGTAGCCTCTGTTGTACATCAGCCTTCTCAAGGCATCATTCCTAGCAGGATCAAGCTAGAGTTGAATATACACTGTGTTACACTTTTTAATAAACACCTCCTTTAACTCTGTGTAGCCTCTGTCCTAGATCAGCCTTCTCAAGGCATCACTGCTAGCAGGATGAAGCTACAGATGAATACACACTGTATTACACTTTTTAATAAACACCTCCTTTAACTCTGTGTAGCCTCTGTCCTAGATCAGCCTTCTCAAGGCATCATTCCTAGCAGGATCAATAGAGATGAACGCACACCGAACGGCAGTGAAAAGCAGGGGCACACAGGCAGCCCAGGCAGTATCTCACCTGATAAGGACCAAGGGCTGCTCCTTGTAGAAGCGCAGGAAGCGTGCCCACTCCATGTAGAGCGTGTACCTCTCGCTGTCACAGTTGGGGTCGCTGGCCTTCTTCCAGTACTGGCACTGCGAGCAAAGCAGAGCAGGGGACACACCTCATGGTCACTCTTGTGCCAAGAATAACACAGCAACAGGCAGGATTGTACAAGGAGCAAAGCAGCCTTATTCAAGAGAACCTCGTGGTTTTTATAGAGTGACACGATAGATTCTGTTCGATTGGCTAATGTGAAAAATGCGTATTTTATGACTGGCTTTTCACAAATATTAAAATGAATATTATATGTGTTGTGTTAGAAAGTTATGCTGTATTAGTTCTCTTCAGTAGCTTGTTAAATATAGTTTTAGGTTATAACATAAGGTTAAAACAGAAACTATGCTATGTAAAATACTTTTAGCAGCCACAGAACACCTGAATTTTTCAGAGAAAAAGAATTTATTGCTCCATTAGCAGAAGAAATGAACTTCTTCCTGCCGTGCTTGGGCAGGAGATGCCGGTTAGGATTAAGAGGAAGAAGTTGACACTGACCAGACAGAATTCTGTGTTTGAATGGAATGTATGCATTTATGCATACATTTATGGAATGTATGAATATGCAACAGGCTGTTGCTTTTAAGGGTTAATCCCTTGTTAACGTGGGTCCTTTTTTGGGCTTATGCTGCCCAGAAAGATGTACCCGGACTGTCTGTAACTCTTTGTTTCTATTGTCTCATATTGTCCTAATCCAAATTGTCCAAATTTTTATTACTCTAATTATATTGCTATTTTTATAACCATTTTATTACTATTAAACTTTTAAAAACAAGTGACTGGTGTTTTTCACAGCTAACTAACAAAACCATCTTCCTCACACACCGTCCTTGAGAAGAACAAAGTAGAAAAACACCACCTGCAGATTGTTTATACTTAACAAGTTATCACTATCACATCCTTACAAAGCCCAAAAAACTCTCCCAAGCTGCTGTGACAAACACTTGCTGTTTCTCTCTCTGTCCCATGGCATCCACAGACCCAAATGCTACACTGAAAGAGACAAACAGCAATGATGATGCACCCCTCTTCAGACCGTGGTGGTGATTATCAGGTATCTTAACTGTCAAACATCACAAAAATTTTGGAACTTCATCACTTTCCTAGAAATTAACCAGTGCAAAATAACCACAGTTTTTGACAGCTTTTTCAATTTTATTTTGTGCCACAGAACTCTGCTTCTTCTCCACTTTGTCAATTATTCACCTTGTGATCTTGGTTTTCCTTTTTTCTGAATGTCTCTCAATCATAAAGAAAAGCATGAAAATTGGTTTCTAAATAGGAAGCAACCAATAGAAATTTAGGCATTTTGCATTTTGAAAATATTCTGAAAGATTAAATAATTATTTTTAGACAAAGATTTTTAAAGTCTGTCTCACAAGTTTTAGAATTTTTTCATAAGCTTTTTTAGTATTTAAAGCTGGTTGTAGTTGTGTAGAAGAGATTCTTGCCTTTTACTGTCTGTGGTTTTGGTAATCCCAATAGTATAAAGCGCCTTCCAGCATTCTAGAACCTGATCAGCCAAACTTTCCTCCTGAAAACCTAAAGAATGTCCATTCACCCAATTATTTTTTTTCTAAGGAAAATAAAGTATTTTCAAACATTTTAAAATATAAATCTATATACAGTATTTTAAAATGTCTTATGGTAGAATTCAGAGTAAGTTCATTAAAGCATAGTGACATCTGAAATAACCTTTAAAAAACAGAGAATTTAAGATTTAAGCAAAAAATTAAACACAACATTTAGGAGGAAAAAAATTTAAAGCAAAAAAAAACCATGTAAAACACTGTAACCCATCTCTCTCTTGTTTTCTCTATGGAATTTCAGGACTAAATCCATACATGTCATATTAAAAATGACCTTACAGCAAAACTAAACAGTATTTACTGTCCTTTACATGTCCAGTATTACAGCATTTGTACCCAAAGGTCAGTGGGAGATGGACAAGTCACCACCCCACACTGAACTGGCAGGGCTCAGGCAACTCCTCTGACTTCAGCCCCACAATTATATGATCCCAAGAGTTTTCCTCTAACTGCAGGTAGTGTGCACACCCTATGCTCACACACTGCTGAATGTACAAATTCATTCCTTGCTATAGTCCAAGGTACTACTGCGTGGTCTGTGCCACCAGCATTACAGGAATATGATGGAGTAAGTCTCTACAGAGATGAGTGACTGACACAGATTCTAAAAGCTCCTCCGTAGGAAGAAACATTTCAGCACATAAAAGCCAAATAGCAGGGCTGACAGCTATGTCTGTGTGTCATAAAACAGAATCAATTACTGGGGCAAACTGAAAGGTTTGAGTATATTTTCCTATCTCCTGGAACAGCAAATGTCACAGTAGGTGAAAGAGTGCAAACACTGGGAAATGCTCAGGGGAGCAGAAAGCTGAAATACTTACATCATGAAGAGGATATGCAGCTGTATAGGTGCCATTGTTCAGCAGCCTCTTAATCCCAAATTTTTTCTTCCCTTCTTCTGTTCCGTATGGGCAACGTGTAAGAATATAATTAACCTGAGATTCAAGAATGACAATTTCAGACCTTTCCTATTCTCAGGCCATTAAACAGAAACCTATAATAGATGTGCACCGTGTATAACCTGCAGGAACAACATGCAAAAGCAAAAGGTATTTCTTCAGAAGGCCTTATCTCCTATAAGAATACTGGGGGCACAGCTGCCTTGTAGACATCCAGAAGCTCAGTTCCAAGAATTATTCTATATTTCTAAGCAAGATGGACAAGTACCCAGGCCTCCTTGCATTTATCTCAGTTACCATGGCTTCTATACCCACTCCTTCCTTACACAAATATTCTGATGGGGCTGTGTAAATGTACCTGTACTCAGAAACAGCCAAATTCCCATACTTACTATTCTGTTTCTCATGGATGGTGAGAAGAAAGTGCTCTCATCGTTAATGAGGTACAGCTCCTGCTTGTCCTTGCTGAATGGTGCTGTGAAATAATCTGGTTCAGGGTGCATCACCTTCTCAGGCAGCCTCAGTGGGAAAAGCACACAGTCCAGGGGGTTCTCCACCATGGGGGGAATGTCATTTTCCCTGATGGGAACTTTAATGTTCAGCACTTCTGCATACGTGATCAGAACCTCCCATGGCGCATGGATCTTCACAAAGAAAATCTTGCCATCTTCAGATTCCTGCTCCAGAAAAGTTAAATCAGACATTAGACCAAACTGTGTTTTATTGAAACATTTATGGGGATATTTTTCATTTAAAATGTATTGCCTTTTACATATTTTTAAAGGATTTAAAAATTAAGTAGGAGGGAATAGGACTTTCTGTGTGTATATATATATTTACCGAAAAGCTTATCTGAGTGGTTGGCTGTTCATAAAAATAACCTTTGCACTACTACAAGCTCACAAAGGCTTTTCAAACTATATTAATCTCATACACTGGAGTCTGAAAATTCTCATTAGACTGGAAACACAAAGAATAATCTTGTCACAGGCCTCATGTAACATGTATTTTCTTGTAGTGTTGCTCTGCATTCACAGTAGGAGTTGGCAATCAGAAGGGTTTTTAACACTGCTCGATGAATTCTGTGGATGTTACAGAGCCTGAACTTTACCAAGAGTTATTTTACTCACCTCAGCCTCTGGCATGCTGACTCCATCAGTCAAAACTGCACATCCTCCAGTTATTACAGCAAACAGTACCACTAGGCAAACATCCTCAAGGCCACAGGGTCCTTCCCCATAACTACAACATCCAGTGAGCACAACTAATTCACTCACTGCCTTCCAAACTTGTTACTCATTGTTAGGTAGAACTGAAATCAGCTGTAAGTACATGTCCCATTTATGTGGATATAAACCAAATCACAGCTATTCTGCCTTCTTGTTATGAAAGCAAAAACGAAAGCTTCCTCTTGAATCAAAATTATTCTGCTTCCACAATTCTTACCAATGTATCTGGGAAAAGCACTCAAACATATTAACCTTGTTTCCCCTAAATCAACCATGCTCCACTAAAATACACAAGTATAATTTATAATTTTTCTCAGAGAAAGGAAGTGGTTTATTGATTTCCGAGTCCTACTCTTTTTGGTGCTAATTTTTCTTTTTCTTTTTTACCTTCTTGTCTTCTGTTTCCAGCTCCAAACCAGCCTTTTGCAGGTTGCTCTCGAATTCTTTTCTCCTTTCCTGAAGAGAAACAAAGACACTTTAGTAACTGATGAAGTTAGCAACTAATTGATCACTCACCCATGACTCACCGGGTTTCTCAGCTTCTTTCACTTCTCTCAGCTGCCCCGATGAAAACCCCTTTAAGGGTGTGTGACCTTCTCAAAGCAAGCAGACAAAAACCAGTGACACACACCAGGCCACCCCTGGCTGGGAAAAGCCTTGGTCTGGGCTACCTGGCTCATCAGACAAGCACCTAATGGCTTGGGTCTTGAGCACTTCTGACTCCAGGAGTGTGAAAAATGCATGTATTTTATAATTGGCTTTTCGCAAATATTAAAATGAATATTGTATGTGTTGTGTTAGAAAGTAATGCTGTATTAAGTCTCTTAAGTACTGTGGTAAATATAGTTTAAGGTTATAAAAAATGTTAAAATAGAAACTATGCTATGTAGATACTTTTTTTAAAGAAAGGACTCGCACTGAGATAGCAGCCACAGGACACCCGAATCTTTCACAGAAAGAGAATTTATTGCTCCATTAGCAAAAGAAATGAACTTCTTCCCACCTCGAAGGCGCTGTCAAGGTTCAGAGGAAGAAGCTGACACTGCCCAGACAGAATCCTGTGTTTGAATGGAATTTATGCATCATGGATGAGGTGTATGAATATGCAACAGGCTGTTGCTTTTAAGGGTTAATCCTCTGTTAACGTGGGGCCTTTTTCGGGGCTCTTTTTCGGGGCTCGTGCTGCGCAGAAAAGGGACCCGGACCATCTGTAACTCTTTGTCTCTATTGTCTCATATTGTCCTAATCCAAATTGTCCAAATTACTATTACTCTAATTGTATTACTATTTTTATAACCATTTTATTACTATTAAACTTTTAAAAACAAGTGAATAGTGCTTTTCACAAGGAGGCTGCTGTGTGGGGTGTGGTCAAGTTTAGCTCTATTTCCAAGAGAAAGATGAAAAGGTAAATTCTGGAAGCATGTGGAAGACTGAGTGCTTCCAGCTTCATCTATTTCTTTTGTATATTTAATTATACAATTATGCCTGATACAGACATTCAAGTACTGATTACAGACAATACAAACAGCATTTCACAAACATCACTGATAAGACCAACAAATCACTGCATGTGCTTAGCTTGCATAAAGTCAGCATGGACTTCGTGCAGAGATAATAAACCTGCAGTGTGTGGTGGCTGCATCATCTGTGTGAGCTTGATATTCTTCTTGAACTCCTTTTTGTTGCAAAGTAATTTCTAAGTCGTGTCTTTAGGTAATAACATTTTCTTCCTCTCCTTCTCTGTATAATTTTTGCTCCTATTGAGAGACTGTATTAATTTCCTCTTAATTATATAAAATTTGCTGAAGAACTGCCAGCAAATTTTAAATTAAGCCCTACAATAATAAATGTTGAGCCTTACCCTCTTTAAAAATGCACAAGCTAGACCACAAATTTATTCCTAACTAAACCCTGCCATACTGTCTAATATTTCTTCTATTGAAAAGTCTTAAATTCCAGTTTTCAAACATACTTTAAAAACCCCAAAACACATTAGTTTTCAGCCAGTTTTCTTTTCCTGCATGTCAGTGAGGAGCAGACTGCCATTTTTGCATTTCAGTTTGCATAACTTACTCAGACAAATGAATGCAGACTGAAGAAAGTTTTCATAGCCCTCAGATGTTTTCCTGTGTTAGTGGCCTCTCACTTTTATGTGTCACATCTGATTTTGCCAAATGTTACCAGATATTAAATCAGACACTGGACTATATAAACTGGTGAATATGGTAAGTCCTGAGTTCCAGCACATGCTGGGGGCAAAAGCCATTCCTTGCACTATTTTTCCTACAAACCTGCCTAAATGCACCTGTATAAGCATGTCAGAGAACTCTGGTTTGCTGACATGATAATCAGATAGAAACAGCACAACTAAAAGGTGATTTCAGCAGGTATGTTAAGAGGCTGTAGCAAAGCTGACATTCAAGCCTAGTACCCAAAGCTCCGGATTACCTTTTCTCCTAACAAAGCAGGCTGGGGTGCATTCTCTCCAGCACACACTGGAAGAGAGCCAAGCAAGTCAGCTCAGAGGCTTCTCTCCAGCTGTGCAGCTCAGGACACGCAGAGCCAAAGGTCTGGCCCCATCCTACTTATCCTTCCTTACAATCCACTTAGTGTGACAAACTGCAGTGCTCTAACAGAAATTATGCTCTTTTTTACCACCTTGCTCTTCTCCCACAAGCCCCCTCCTGAAACCCATGCAATGTACTGTACTTCCCAGTTAATGGGAAAAACATTTTTAAAGGAAATCAATCTGCTGGGGGGAAAAAAATCCTCCCCCTTTTCTTGTCAAATACTGGTTTTCTCCATGTCATCATCAAAGGCTTAAAATGGACAAAATGTATCCTTGGGCCAGAGCTGGCTGGTTTTAATCTGTACTTAGAATTTTAAGCTTGTTGCCCCAAACCTGATAAATTATCCCCGGTGCATGTATTTCTGACTCTGCTGTAGATGCCAATCTGCAGCCAAAGAGGCACGAGGGAAGCTCTGTAAGTCATCACATCCACCATATTATGTGGATATCTGACATAATGTGGGATAAGCACAGACTCACTTCATCATCCAGCATGTGCTGGGCTGTAATAACCATCCCAATAAGATTAACAAGGCAAGATCCAAAGTCCAGCAGCACTATTATGCCCAAAGCAAATGCAATACTGCATAATCAGGCAGCTAGGGAAGAGAGATAACTTCTATAAACCAAATTGTGATAACAATGCAGGTCCAGCTCCTGGTGACTCCCTTCTGACAGCATATTCTGTGATTCTTTAACTCTGTGAATGCCTGGCCCTCCTCGCTGTGCCTCAGGACAGGGCACAGTTTATTTTTTCATGTTCACATACATTTCATATGGTGGTGAAATATTTCCATGTGTACTAGAGGCTTTAAGGAATAATATTGTCTCAAAAAATCGTAATCCTAATTTTTGTTCAGAGGCCTTTGTGGTTTGGGTTTGTTCATGTAGCTTATAGAAGGCAAGTTCAAATCAGCTGAAGGCAAGCTCAAAACAGCATTCCAGTTGAAGATGGAATGCATCTGGGAATATCAAAGAAGTTAAAAGTTGTTCTGCATGAAACTAAGGGAGAAAATGAACAGACTTGACTCTTACATCTGTATCAGGGATATGCTGAAACACACAAAGAAGTTATTTATCCCATTCTTAGAGATTCCTTGAGACCAGGAAACAAAAGCCTTTGTCACAGCTGTTATTCTCCTCGTATAAACACTTCTATTCTCAGCTGTTCCATTTTACTGCACCATTGTACCACCATAAAAGAAACATTTCTTTCTATGATAACTGTACAATAGCAAATACAGTGTATGTCAGACAAATTCCAGAGGCTGCACTTCATCAAGATTTACATCTTGTTACCATAAAGACAACAGCACAGTACTTGCATGCTAAGAAGTCTGCACTAATTTATGGACATACTAATTGCATAATTGAACATAATTGTGGGGCATATAATTGGTATCTCCATGACAGTTTGTCCAGTGACCACAGAGTTTATCTGCAGGGCCACTGACCTTCCTCCATGAGGCCATAAACTCTTTTGCAAGGAACAGATATACACAGAATTAAACATCACAATACTTAATGTGGATGTTTATGCCTTTTGAAAAGCAGAGATATCCTCCTAGGAAGTGCATTTTTATGCCAAAGAGGAAGGACAATATTAGCTACTAACTCTTGGGCTTCTTCCCAGGAGAATCCTTCAATAACGACACCCATGGACAGGGGCTCTGACCATCTAACTCATTTTCCTTCCCACCTGAACATAACCTAAACTGTATTCTCTTCTTCCCTCATTTTAAATAATTCAAGTATGACTAACGGAAAAGTTTGAGTTGCTTTCACAAATTTTGCATGGATATCTTTTTTCTCTCTCCATTGAGTGGCCTTCTCTTCCCTATTTTTGAAATGCATTTTGCTTCAGGGGAGAAGAAAGCATCTAGCTAGGAGTACAGCCTGACAAAGAGTAAAGATGAGTTTGAAAAAGTATGCTTGTATATAAACCTATGGTATCATAGCTATCAAATGACCTGGGCTCCCAAGAAAATCTTTGGAATGTGCAAAGCTGACTGAGGTGCTTAATCTGGGAAAAGCATCCAACAGAGACAGGACAAATTTTTGGATTTTTTAAGGTAATAAGAGTAGGATAGAGGGGCTGGGTTCTACACTAGATTGTATTTGGATGCAAGGACAGGCAGCAGAAGTTCTTAATGAAAACAGTATTTTCATCATAAAGGAATGAAAACAATATGCAATCTTCTTAACAGCCTAATCTTGCAGTTTTTTTCCAAAGGAAATTTGAATTTTTAATTATGAAATACTTCAACATGACAAGATAAAGATTGCAACTGCTCTTTGCTTCAAAGACTAATAGTTTTGATCATGATTCTGTCCTAAGCATTGGTGTAATTAGTTTTTTTTCAGATACCCTTATCTTTCAGTAAAATATGATTACTTGAGAATGTCATTGTTTAGTGTCTCTCCTTTTTAAATTTTTTTGATCATGAATAAACTTTGGAATTATATTTTGGAGAGACTAGTTTGTAACTGTAATCTCTCCTGACTCTGAAAGAAGGTAGCAAATACAGAACAAAACCAAATGTAAATCCTCATATTTAAAAAATATTGTGCTTTATATAAAATTTGTTGCCTTGACTGCCTCTCATTATACTGGATTTTTTTATATAGCTTGAATTTATGTTAGCCAAGTGAGACCTCATGTGTCATGTGAGCATGGAACAAACAGGCATCATTAACTGATTCCATCCGACCTATGATTACCATTCAGGGTCCTGCTGGCAAGTTCAAGAATAATCACTAACTGGCACTTTGGAGAAAGTTTGTTTTTGTGCTCTGTTACATAGGAGGGCTCTTATCAAAGCCACTTATATTCTTTATATTTAAATAAATATAAATATTTATTAAAATATTAATATTCATTAAGTATTTTAATATTAAATAATATTTTATTTAAATATTACTAATATCTAAACAAAATATTATTTACTATTAAAATATTTATATATTTAAATATTCTTCTAGAAGAATGAACACACATATGTAGATGTTTGACCTACTGTAGGTCAAACACAGGGAAAAGCTCCAGGAGGACACGCTGTGTTTGTGTTACTCAGAGTATATTTTAAGAAAAGAGTCTCAAAAGTATTAAAGAAAAACTGCATTGAGTCTTGGAGCTAAGAATCTATTTCTCCTCTAACTACAATCAAAGGGTATGAAAAATTAGTCATTGTTAAATATTGTTTGGATGACCTCTGCTTATTTAGAAGAATAATCCTCCTCCGTTTGAAAGTATTTACAGGTGCAAGTATTCACAAATATTTCTCCATAGTATTAGCTAGACTGTTAAATGAAGAAGCAAAATAATTGAGATTACTTTGCTCCATTGTATAATATATTGCTCAGCCTAAGTAATGAAGAGTGATCAATTCAATCAACATAGACACAAGAATCTAATAAAATTGGATCCTGACAAACAACAGCAAATTACACAGAAATGTTCATGCATGGGATTGTTTTTCACATAGCTATATGTGATTTTTTTAGGTAAGTTCTATTCCAGATCAGTCTAGTGATCCGACAGGGTTAGTAACTGATATTCATCTTATTATAAATAAAAACTAAGAAGACTTCAAAAAGACAAACTTACCAACTTCTTTTCCCATTCCTTATTAAGATCATCCACATAGGAGAGAACAAAATCAATTCTCCTGACACCATCCCTGAAGAAAATAGAATCTTTGCTTTGATGTCTTTTATCAATCTGCAGAAGATACAGGCATATGAATTAAAAAAACAAGCACTGCTGTTTCTCTAAAATATCACAGAAGGCAAAGAAGTTCCCCCACATTGCCACAGTTCTTCAGTTTCTTTACAGCTGAAGATACATCTGGGCAAGTTTTAACAAGGGCTACATCTAGATTAATTTCAAAATTAACCACATATGTCCACAAGCATTACATGTAAATAACTGACACAGGAAAAATAAATATATATATGTTAGTGTAGCAATACTTGTGAATACTTGAAGCAGGTAGCAAAATGCAAATTCATGCATTTTCCTCTACATAACAACATTCACTAAATCAACCACCACAGAGACATATGTCCCAGCAATGACCACACATAAAAATAGCTCACAAAAATACAGAGGTGATGTTTCAACATTGAGTATTTACTTTCATGGGAAAAAAATACACCTAATAAAAGATATCAACATAACAGGGTAATTAGTACTCCAATTCATCTATTAAAGATCATATTTTCATTTACCAGCATGCCAGAATGTCTTAGTAACAACATCCACCTTTTTCACTATTAGGCCACAGTAATTAATGTTAGGCAAATAAAAGACTGTAACCCCACTCTCCTAGGGAAGTTAACTCATTAGGCAATATTGTTTATTGTCATATCAATATTCAGCTCTATCAAATCACACACAAGACGTACAGCAAGGAGAATATTCTAGTTTAAATGTAACTCTGCGCAGAGGAAGGTTGCTGTTACTTTTTAAACCACACCTACCAGTGAAAGCGTATTTGTACAGGGCTGAACTGGGGTTTTGTTTTATTTTATTTCATTAGAGTAGGAACAAAGCAGAGTATCATGTCTGTGTCTTTCCCCTTTCAGGCCATGCAAGGATGCATGTGCTCCCTGAGAGAGCACGGAGTGTTTATCTGCAGCTGTGGCCCTTGCTCCCAGCTAACAGAGGCAGCACACAGTGAATGAAGCAGGTTATTACTGCAGCACACAAGCCACTGGCAGTAGCGCTGATCACTGCTTTACCCTGAGACGCCGCTTCAGGAACAGATTAAACTTCCTTCCACTCTGCTGGAACAACCAACAAGCAGTTAGCACATTGTTCCTCCCCAAGAACCAACTGCTTCAAGCACACACACCCCAAATTACAGTGAGCAAGAAATCCATGTCCTTTAAAGCTAGGAAAAGCCTCCAGACGTCAGAAAAACACAAGCACCCACAAATAATATGACTATCACGTCTTTTTTATTAAAGGCAGAGCTGGGCTGGAATCTGTTTGGACAGTAAAAATGTTTTAAGACAATGATTTCTATACTACTACTTGCTATCATTTGCATACTCCAGTCTGGGCACTGCTGCTGCTCACAGCGACCCCGAGATGGGTTAGAAAGTCTCTTTTCCCAGCCCAGCTGTTGAAGGAGGAGTCAGAGCTCTTCATTTCTCAGTCTCAAGGTTGTTTATTCTTCCTTATCTATAAAATTCTTTCTCTGGCCTGACAAGGTCCGCTCAGCAAGACAGCCCAGCGCACTCTGCCTGCCCCAGGGTAGTATATAACAAATAATAAATATAATAAAACTTTTTTATAATAAAAACTACATATACAATGTTTACAGTTACTTCCCAATACCTATCACCTGTGTTAGACAGTGAGCTTCTACTCTAAACCAATCCCAAAGTGCCACCATCACAGCAGAAGATGGAGGCCAAGAAGAAGAAGGAGAAAGGCTGGACATGCCCAGATCCCTCCATCCTGCCCCCCTGAATCCCCATTCTAAAACCCCAAAAAAATCTATTTTTCACCCTGTGATAAATTCACTACCATTATACTTAAACTTTCATGGTTTGTAATTCTTCACATAAGGTTGGTAATTGTTTTTTCCAAGGGCTAAATCAAAGGCACAGGGGTCTGGGGCTCTGTGCCAAGGTCTCTGAGCCCCCTGGGCAGGGCTCGAGTCCTCCAGGGCAGCCAGAGGAATTTCCTGGGTTCCAACACTTCAGATTTAAAAAAGAGCAGTAAGCAAGTGGTTTTGAGTGTAGAGCAAAGCTACCAAACCACTGGCTCATGCATAGTGCATGCATGTTTCTGTAATGCTCATGTTTGGTTGGACCCACTGGGACATAAAGTGACAAATGGCAACCATGTAATTCCAGAGCTGACAAAATTACAAGTAATAATATCCACATAATTCACATGTTTATCTTTAAATAGGCTGAAATGAAATAAAAATAATTGACAATCCTATTGTTCCATAGTGTTGCACAACTTTATGCATCTTCATTAGACACACTGGTAACTGCTGCAATTAGACACTTGAACCAGCCATGCATTATCAGGAACTCCTGTGCTCCTATCCTAGCCCCTTGGGGAGCTACAAAACACTGCTGCAAATCAATGCAGCACAAAAAAAAGCTAAAAGAAATTACTTTCTAAAAATGCTAGCATCCGTTCTTGGCCTTTCCTCTTCAGCAATTCTGTAAAGGTTTTTTGTTGTTTATCTTCTTGAGAAATATTTACAGCAGATCAATTAGAATACTTTGTATGGCTGAAATCAGGACAGCTACCTCAGAAATGCTTTTGCTTCCAAATGCAGTACCTCATCTTTCATGATTAAATGGTTCACAAAAATTATGGAATCCAGGAGCAGAAAAGAAAAAGCATGTTTCCATTCTATTTTGTACTTACAGGTTTAGGTCTTTCTTTGCAAATATAATTGTGACTACATGCAAACTGCAAGTTCAGATACTAAGTTAATCAAGTTAAAACAGTGTATAGAACCATGCTAACATCTGTATAGAATCAACAGTACTGTAATTACAGCATTACAGTAAGTAAACCCCAAAGTGCATTCTAACAACTTAAAATGTTAGCAATTGCCCCAACCACTGATTAAAAAAAGACTGACTTCACAAGCACAGAAACTGTTCTAGTGCACTAAATTCATATACAAAAAGAAGAAATCAAACAATAAGCAATACTTACTTCAAAAAAAAACTCCTGCCGAAGGAGCACCCCAAATTGTTTGGGTTGCATGGTTATAATTAAATTATTCAATACAATTGAAGAAGTATTTTATCTTTACGGACATCAAAATTTGGTTGTTTTCTAAGATGTATCAGAATCCTCAGTAATTAAAGGTCTGACTATCAATTTAAGAAGATGCAGTAGTCATTGTCAGATCTGCTATTAGAAGGGGAATACTTATCACTCTCCTTCTGGAAATCATCCTTTGAGACATTCATTGTGGATAGTGACAGGCCTGCTTATTAAACCCATAAATTGTTCCTTTCATTTTGCTCCATTTGGACTTCACAAGGAGAACAAGATCAGTCTTGCACATTCATAAAGGTTTATGCATGCATGTGTGCCTACAAGTTTAATGTATATAAAGTTTGTAATTTGCATTGATTCTATCAGTGAATCATTAAACATTTGTACATCTTATTTCTTAACAGCTCTTTCCAGAACTGCATAAATGCAGTTAGTGATCCTTGAGAACCTGCAGTTATCAAATGAAGGCACACCTCGTCACAAAAAATATTCTCAAATATCTTCCTCCTGCAATACAAGGAACTAAATTAAAACTTCCCAACACAGTACAGATAGCAAGCTGAAGCTTTTTAGTAATTAAGTTACATCCAATGAGAACTACAGAAGAGATGGAGCCCTGAGGCATATGGTGAAAACTCAAGAAGCAACAACCACAAGTCTCAACAGGAGAAATTCCTCCTGGATGAGAGGCTGTGGTTGTGTAGGAATGGGTACAACAGAATGCCCAGAGAGACTCCATCCTCAGAGATAACACAGCCTGATTAAGCTAGGCCAGGACTGATCTGCACTGACTGTGCAACCTGATCTAGGTTTGAAGCCGGCACTGCCTTGAGGGGGAGGTCAGCCATCCACAGCTCCCTTCCAATCCAAGTTCACTGCAGGATTCTATGCAATCCCATTACTGCAAACATTCAGCATTTACCAGGGCTTTCAAAATGTCAAATAAATCCATCAACTACAAAGCAAGTTACAAACCCCACCTGTTCAAAACACAAATAATGCCCTCCTGTTATCCTGTAACAGCTTTCCAGACTCATTAGTCTAGTTATGTCTCTAAGAACTGTGACCACTCAGCTTGCGGGCAGATGTGCTAGCTGAATGCTGTAATGGTCTATCCTGAAGATGATAGGCCTATCATCTTCATGATAGACCACAACATCCATGGTCTATCATAAATTTTCTTTTCATGTGGCATAAGTGCAAACTAACACGATTCATATGGTATTATACTGATAGTTCTAGTTATTGTATATTTGATGATCTCCCTCTAGACACCCAGAAGAGGCTGAGGTATTGGACTATGTCCAACCAAACAACCCTCCAAGTACCTGGGCTTGCAATCCTCACCTCAGGCACAATCCAAAGCCCTGCAGCAGGAAACCCTGACTCAACAGGACAGGTGACACGAGAGACTGAAACAGGAGTCTCCTTGAGCCAGGTCTCATAAGCTCTTGGAGATCTATTTCACACCCAAGATAGCTTAGCTACCTCAGAAAGCATAAAACCAGCAGGATGGCTTATGTAGTAGTGCTGGAAACAAAAAAGATTTTAATGAAAGGCAAAACAACAAACTTTACAGAGAAAAACTGAGCCAGGTGCAAGAGGCCCTCCTGCCCCTGGTAAAACACCCCACAAAAGCCATTAGTTCCTTTGTTCTCTCATTTTTCTGGTAAACTGCCCAGGCAGAACTCTGGCTCCTGTCCAACTGGCTATCCTTAAGTTTGAGGTGAAGTCCTCCAGGTCCTATGAGATGTCTTTTCACCTAGTTGAGGAGGGAAACTTCTGGGCTTATTTCCTTTTCGAGGGGACAAAGCATAGTTTTGTCACTCTGTCAACAGGGGACACATTCCTATAAGAGACCAAGATGTCAGCAAGGAAACAAAGCCCAGCTGAGGATGAAGCAAGGCTGTCAGAGCCCAGGGTCTGCTCTGCCCACACTGGTTGGGCAAGGTGTGTAAATGCTGCCTGGCAGCCCCACACACACAGATACAGCTAAACTCAGCATTCAGCACTGCTGCATGCTGTGAGGAGTCCTTGGCTCCACAGGTGCCCCTGAGACACTTCTCCAGGGCCAAGGCAAACACTCAGGCCCAGGAGCTGGAGAGGAAAAGCAGCTGCTGGAAGTGGCACAAGCACCAGCCCTGGCACAGAGCAACAGCTGTGGGCTGGGGCTGAGCCACGGGCACCCTGCTAAACGTCCCTGTGGCCTCACTGACCCTGGCACTCTGACACTGGGCACTGTGGGCAGCTGCCCCGTGTGGGTTAGTGGTATCACACTACCCAAAACACAAATATGCTCTGCAGATTAGACCTTAATGATTTCATCCCCTATGTTTTTATGGGACTCTGAGGGATTTCTATTTCTGGTTATCCATCCAACGGGAAATGAATCCTTTCAGCTCACTTAGCACAGCTCTCACCTTGGCACGGCGCTTCCAATATACACTCTGCTATTAAATATCCCAGCCCTCTCTATGTCCACACCTCACAGACAGGGAAACTTGTCCTGAAAAGAGCAATACTTCTCAGATTATTATTCAGTCAGAAAAGTGCAAGTTCCCCGTGTTCAGAAACACCCTTCCCAAATTCAGTGCCTTGCACCTCAAGGTTTCCCAAGTGTCCAACCCCACAGAACGGGGCCTGCAGGCTCAGACCTGAGCACCCCTCCACTTCTGCTTTTGCAGCTTTTATCTTTTCTGTGGGAAGGTGGTTTAGAGCAGCATTTTCAGTGCCAAAGCAGCAACCAATACCAAGCACAGATGGAGGAAGCCATTAGCTTCACTAATTACAGCACAGGGCAGCACCTCTGGCTGTGACTAACAAGCAAGACTAGATGTTACATTAATACCATGCAATGGTTTTTATAATCCCCCATCAGCACATCAAGGAATTACATTATCATAGTTGTACACTACCAGGCAAAAAAACTATCTGAAACTACAACATTAAACTGATTTATAACATTTTGCTGGCTTAAAAGATACAGTTTGCAAACAAAATATTTAATTAACTGCATACCTTTGATAATCACACAGCAAGTTAGATGTAAAACAGACACTGTAAAAACCCCGAAGAACTACATTAAAACACAACTAGGTAATTTATGAACTAGCAATCTACAGCAGAAAAACTTTCAGAGTAGAAAAATGGACAAAAATATAAGGTTTGAAAGCTGAATCAAAATACAAGAAAAGCCACCATAACTGAAAGGGTAGGAAACATATGGCTTAAAAAACAAAGTTATGACCTTCACTTAGATCCCCAGTTTGCATGGAATATTTCTACAGTTCTCCTTTTCACTGAATTAAAACATGCTACAGGAAAACCACATGGCTTTAAGTGCTGCTACACAAAATATGAATATATATATTTATACATATATATGAACTTAAACATAACTTTATAAATACATATCTAAATTATATAAATGTATTTCCAAAAGTAAAATGTTCCTGGAAATACATCTACAGAACATACACAAACATACAGGTGAAAACCCACATGGCATATTTCTGCTTCATGCACTCAGTTCCCACTTTACCAGAGACCCTTTCCACGAAGTTCTCATCATTCTTCTTCCTTGAAGGATTCCATGGAACTGAAGAGCTCGCTCTCTTTAAAGATGTGTATTAACAGCACTCTTAACACCACCCATCCCAATTTCCAGTTACACTTCATGCAGGCTGCACACAAAATTATAACCTTGCCCATTCAAAGGAACAAAATCCCATGTATTTCTTGTAGCTAAAACTTGCAAGCTGCTTTTTTCACCTTCACTCATGTTTCGATTCTGAACCCCATTAAAATCTGAAAGCTTGAAAACATGCATTTCAAAGCAGTTTAAGACACCAAGATATTTGCACTGAAATATAAATGCACATGAAAAGCCTCTAGGGATAAACGAATACATTAAACAAGACCAGAACCAAGAAAAATAAAAAGTAAGCTAGGGGAGCGTACGTGTTAATGGAAGACACCAGAGCCCAAAGTAAGCAAGCAGACAGTTTTAATACACCTCAGCATGTACTTCTTCAGTTATTTTGAATTACTTTTTCTACATAAAACAATAATGATTATTTAAAGTTTTCTGATATATTTGAGAATTTATATAGTTATCTCATCTGTGAATTTCAGTAAGTGGCTACCCTGAGCCTTTCCTTATTATTTACTACAATAAAAAAAGAGAGGCAACATATTTCAAATGATGTCAGTGTTTGTTTCTTGCTCTTTAAAACATGTTAAAGTATCATGCTGACTCACAGAACCCTCAGGCCATCATGGTAAAAAGGAAACCCACATTTGTTAATAACACCAGAGTCAGAATACATCCTATATCCCATCAAACCAAAACAATGATAAAAAAGCAAACTTTCCAGTTTTCTCCACCAATCTCAACTTTCCAAATTTGTCTATTAAGCTTTTGATTTATTTGAATTTATCTCTTAAGTCATCTCTAGGAATAAATGCAAAATGTTCATTTTTATCAGCTAGAAGAAATTGATTTTAGAAGGATGGCATCCTTGAAACTGGAAAATTTTCTGGTGAGGGACGTTTTGGCATACTGTAATAGAAGACGCCACACAAATTCATGCAAGGAAGCATGAATACTTCTCACTGCTTACCACTTGATGTTCAGGGATGAGTAAAGTAGTCTCAGTGCTGCTTAGGCCCTGCCAGTGGCATCACGGGAAAAACAACGTTGTTAGCGATGATGCAAAGGCTAATGCAGATTTAAAAGTAAAGGCTACTTCAGAAGAAATAGTGTGGTTCCTGGTGTAAGCTGCTGAAAAGCTCTTCTGAGTGGTACATGGATTTTCAGTCAAGATAGAGTTTAAACCAACCTCTATTCAGCAGAGCAGGTCGGTCTCTAGCCTGCAGTACCAACTTTTATGTGGTCCATACTGATTTTAAAGCAGTAATAATTACAATTTTTGATAAGAGTTAAACAGTATTCCTCACGATTTCCATTAGAAAAAATACAGTCTAAACAAGTTGGTACAGATTACCCTTTATGAACTGGTGAAGTACAACTGTTAATAGTACTCTTATTTATTTTGATCCCAAAGAGAGAAAGCATACACAGCAGAGATGACTGGGCATTCAGAACAAATGTGCTGCCCCTTGGATATTTTTTAAGTACAAACTGAAATTATACCATGTACACTGAACTAAAACAAATGCAGTGAGCTAAACCCCCAGTCTCACAGTGCAGACACAGTAAATTGGTACCAGTAATTGCAGTTATACCTAACGAGACAGCGAGGGCTTCCCAGACACCAGTTCTGACCCACACCCTGATTTCAGCTGTACAACATCTGGGTGCTCATTGTTTTCCTGCATGTTGCAGCAGTGATGGCTTTGAGATCAGGTGCTGCTATTGCAATGATAATCATTGGCTTTCTCAGTATCTAATTCTGTTAGTCAGTATCTTACCACACTTCTGTTTTGTCTTGCTTTTGTGTGCTTTGAACACAAACCACAGACAGATTTAAACAGTGCAACTCCATTATGAAAACACAATAGCTCTCTGTGGAATTAAATTAACTTTGAATAGAAGCAGAGTATTAACAGCATTAGATTATTATGGCATTATTTACTTGTTTAGAGTTGTAAAATTACAGAAAGTTTATTACCCTAAATGTAATTTTCATAAAGCACTGTTGATTATTTTTTAAATAATGTTTTTCACTTTTGTTACAATTTTTCTTGAGAGAAATCACTAAGGCCCATTCCTGTCCTGGTTACACATCAAGTAAAACACACATCTTTACATTCTTTTTGAATGATGCCATGTCTCGGTATTTGCTTATCTAAGTAAGTCAAAAATGTCCTTTTAAGAATGCAGTAAAATAAACAGAAAGATCAATCTGTTCTTTGGCAGGGAATGCCCCTGAGAAACAGTGCAAATATAAATAGCTGCACTGTGCTCTTACCCTGAGTCTGAACTGGGTTTAGAGGTCTAACCCTCCCATCATGGATGCTACTGGAAAAATCAGAACTTTGGTAGAGAACTAAGTGCTGAGACACTTAGCAGGAAGTTTTTCTCCAATTATACACTGTAAATACTTGCCATGGAAAGTACTGTACAAACTTTAAACTGCTAAAAGCACAGCCTTGCTTTTCAATGCTGCCCTGTGGCTCCTGACTGTCCATTGCACACATTCCCCCATCCACTCTGGCACCCTTCCATCTGCTGTTATCCAGCCTCTCCATCCCCTACTCCATGGTTAGATGCAAATCCAACCTTTAGGCACCCTCCTGCCCACACTGCTTCACTCAGAGACAGAATTTCACTACATCTAGTGAAGCACAAAGCTCTGAGGTGCAGACACACAGCTGGCAAAGGCCTTTGTACTTCCCTGTGCATTCTGGTAAATGCTTTCCTGTTAGTCATGGGATCTTACCCTGCCCGGTGTAACTGTCAGAAATTAATTAGCTGAAGTCATTAGGAGTAACTATTTTTAAGCTGGTGCTCATACCTTCTCCTGTGCATTTCAGGCACTCTGACAGAGACACACTGCTGTTTCATGATATGCCAAAGTCTGTGTACAGCACAAAGGAGCTCCAGCGTTGGTAACACATGACATGCAAAACAAGAATCAACTCAAATAATCCATCCAACTTTGCTGAGATGAAAACTGAGAGGGCTGGCACTGGTGGCAGCAGAGTTGGGCTGGTCCCTCCCACTCTGGAATCCACTCTCTTAAGTCTTTAATGCAGTCTAGCTCTCCCCAAAATAGCCCTCATGGGTTTTTGTTAGACTTGGAAGAAGTATCTTTTTATTTCTTTCTAGATGTTGAAACCAATTTGGTTCATCTTTGCAATATTAACAATGGTATTTTATGTTTCTCTACTTGAAGATCCACCAGTCTGAACTGAAAAATGAACAAGTATGAAAAGTAATGCACAATGTGATGGTGTTTCTTCAGAAAACAAACCCCAACCAATTCATCTGGAACACCTGCAGCACCTGCTGCTCTGAAGAAAAGACAACCTATGAGTCAAAGTGTAATTGTGGTAAAAAGGCATTGCTGTAATGAATTTGCCAATTTACTTCTGCTAACCAGGCTTAAATAAAGACAGATTGCTCACAGATTTTCTTATGATCAAGTGACACTATGGAAAATCCTGATTAATTTTTAGTAAGCATTTTCTTGGTGTGAAATGCATAGAAAGGTGAAAAATCAATGTATAACAGTGCGAAGTGACCTCCTCTCTCCTCACAGGTAGAACAGGGCACAGTTCCTGCAGTCTGACACAGATAGTACTGTGATCACCTGCCCTTCTATGAGGCTGAGTCCACATGCACACCAAGCAAACACCTCTAATTACTTTGTGCTTCTTCACTGGAATAACAGATAGCCCTCTGTATAGATGGACCTCTGCAGATGTTGATAAACTACAAACCAGTGATTCAATTTTGCACAAAAGCTCTACTAATTTTACATTTATCCCATCTGAATGGCCTGAACTTTTACTATTAGAAAATGTATTACAAATTCAAATATTTAACCTTTCCTCCAATCTTGAAATAACTGAGTGATCTTCATTCCTCTCAGGCACAGGAATTCTGTTTTGTCAGTATGTTTCATCTTCATTTATTTATTAACCTGAACAACTAATTACAATTCCTGAGCAGACACACCATCATATATTTTTCTAGTGTGCTTTCTGCACAAACAGAAAGCACAGAGGAAAAAAAGTTTCTCAGGGTTTATTTCATTAATTTTCCAATTTGCTTGAGAGGACTTTCAGAGGCATTTATGTATTTCTTGGAACAGGACCTCCATAAGGACTGAGTCAGGTAGGTTCTGCACAGGGATTCACTGAAGACAGCTGCCCATCCCTAACAGAAGTGGCTGTCTATGCATTACTGATTTAACAAGGACATAATTTGAAGCAGTCCCCACTTCAGAACTCATTTGAAAATACCCCCATTACATCCTTTTTTCTTCCCCTTCTCCAGTCTTCTGTTTGTGGAAAACATCTCCTTGCCTCCCTGCATGACAAAGCATCTAGAAATTATTTATGCTGTAAGTCTTGGAATATTAAAAGCTGATGAAGTCCAAGTGATCTTATTTCTTTTGGTCCTGTGGGATATTTAAGAATAAGGAAAATGAGTCCCAAGAAGAAGCAGTTTAAGAAAATGGAAAAAATCCAGGGTGAAATAGGCAAGAATGCAAAATCATGAAGGACAAACTGCACCACTGATTAGTGCTCCAATTTTTGAGTCCTGGACTTCATCCAATGCTTCACTACAGACTGTTCTTCACTTTTTGTTTTACTTGCATCATTCCTTATATCCAAATCACATATTCCTCTGCAGATTACACAAGAAAGAAAGAAAAAAACAACCAACCACTGAATTATGGGTGGGTGATGTTTCTGCTCTCCATATTAAATCTAGATTTATTTTTTCCCTCCTATTTTTAAATCAGCAATAAAACCTTAGCTTTTTCTCTGTGCTGCTGAACAGAAGCATACTGTTGCAGGATGTTATGTCTTTTCTCTTACTTACTGATATTGCTAATTTGACAATCACAATACTTTGTGATATTTAATAATGAAGTATAAAGAAAAATAATTATCTAAGGAAACATGTATGTAGAAAACAAGAGAAAAGGCTGCATGAAATTACCAAGGAGAGATTTTTCAGAGGATAACCTGATAAATTTTTCCCAGACATGAATGTGCTGAAGATCAAAGCCTCCTCCTTTCCCACCTCATCATGAATCTTTCATCCTTCAAACAAGGTTCAAATCCCACTTCCCTACACATGTTGCACTCTTTCTCCCATGCGTCCTGCCTTTTCATATGTCCTAAGTCATGAAGTGACTTCTTCCCAGCTTTGGTGAAATGTCTCCATCCAGTCAGATGTGAGTAGCTCAGAATCAGCTTCTCATGGTATGATGGCCATTGTTCAGTGAAGCATTTGACATGCCATTCACTGAAAACTTTCCTGGGGAAAAAGATGATTACAACTCCTACAACAGATTCAGAAGGGAATAGGGTGAACATATGAACAGGTTTTAAAATGGAACTGGAAATTTTAATAAAAACATTGGGATGGTATGGCTGAATGTCCTGAGAAGACAAAGATCTGTGTAATTTAGGAAGCCCTTCTGAGTTCTGTCTTCATGGGATCCTCTCCAGATTTGGTCCTCAGAAGATGCTGAGGACATCTTTTACTTTTAAGATCTGCAGAATAGCTGCAGGTTTTCAACACTCAATTCAACAGACATAACTTTTGATCAGTGCTCATGGCCAGTATGAGATGACAGAACAGCTGTTTCTTTTCCTATCTAAAACTTCCTGTCTTCCTCTAAGCATGTAACAACAATAAAGAAATCAGACAATAGGAAGGAATATAAAATACCAAGGTAAAGATGACGTATTTTCAATGACAGTTTCTCCAATGAACACTGGCTGCACACTGCTACCTCCTCAAGACAATGTGTACTGTACATATTAAACAGTAAGGCACCATGAAAAAATTTACAGCTGATGATGCTTAATGAGGTGCTCTAGTAACCCAAATCTTCATTTGCTTTCCCATGAATCTTGCTGCACTGTCACAAGGGTCCTAGAGCCCTGGAACTCCAGTGTGCCTTGACTTCCCCAGCAAGCCAGCAACACAACACACAGCACAAAACAAAGCACCTGGTTTGTGCAGAAACAGAATGTTCTTCCAACTGACAAAACATTTAAAGACTGTGAGATTCCCATCTCAAGACTGATACAGGAAACACCATTAGGCCCATACTGTTTTCTACCACTGCTGTGTTACAGCACTAACACTGCTAAGTCTCTTCTGAGACTCGGTGAGTGTCACGTCATATTCGTGGCTTTGCTCTTTCAAAACAATACAGGAAGAAAAATTTTACATGGATAAAATGGAGGTAAAAGAAATACTAGTTTTGAAAATGAATTGCCTTTTTCACAACAACCCTTCTTCCCTCCAACCAAGTAGTTAATTAACTAACACCGCTCATGCTGTACCTTACCTCAGAGCTGCTTGGGATTTCTGATCCTGCAGTTGAAATAGTTTCAGGTCCATTGCATTCTTCCCCTAAGGAACATTGAAAAAGAGATTCACATAAACACATTCCTTTTTTTAAAATATTGTTGTATGTGAAAGTGATGTGAACCTTGAAGGCATGGAATTATGAACAAGTAAAGGATGGGAAATAATACTCATAATACATAAAATCTTCAAGAATGGTTCTTTGGAGGAGAAAAGATGCTGCAAGACACAATATACTCAATCTGTGCTTCCTTGGTGTAACCCTGCATTCACAGAAACGTATTTTTAACTGTGACAGAAAAAAAATCTGTTGTCATCACTGAGCTTTCTTGTCTCAAATATCTGCTAGGTCTAAGAGGTTTTCAGCTCAGAGGTTTGCTGCCTCAGTTATGGAAATCCAATTAGCTGTGGAAGTGTTTGCTAGAGATCAAATTAGAGTGTGGTTTTTTGCTAAGGAGTCAATGATGCATAACCTCAAGACTACAAATGCCCATGTAATGGAGGTATGACAACAGGATCAAAAATAGTAATGTGAATTTAATTACTTAGCTTCTTGTTCAAAAAACAAACCTAAAAAAACCCACCAAAACCCAGCTCCAAAACAACAACTGATAAAATAAGCCAAACAAAAAAATCTGACTTTATTTTAATGACAGTAGTGAACTCCAACACAACTTTCCCACAAATACACTAATTTCACCAAAGACACTGTTACTAAAATGTTAATGCTAAAGGGAAAATCCTATTCAGTACCTTCAGAATCTTAAATTTGATCAAGACTGGCTGGGTTTGTGTGTCTGAATTTACAGTGTCACCAGCTTCCTATGCAGAACAACTCTGAGCCCATAACAAGGTTTCTGTTAACAACCATCTCTGCTGATTAGGCACACCAGTCTCTTCAATCAGGCATCTAAATCACTTCACTGGAAAAGGAAAAGCAGTTTTGAAAACAGCTGATCAAAATCTGGACTGTGCACTGAAAAATGGTGTCTCTTTCTTTCAGAAAAGAGGATTCACCTTACCTCGTTCTCCTTTAAGGAAGCATTGCTGAGTATAGCTTAGACTGGACAGACTTAAACTGAACCACTGTTAAGACAACTACAGTTACATTATTTCTGCCAACAAAACAAGCCTACTTTTCTTTTTGTAATCTGCAAATATTTGATGTCAAAATTGCATCCAGGCAGGATATAAAATACTTTTAAAAATATAATAAACATTGAAGCATTTTGTTTTCTACAATTTTTTTCTCTTTCAAAGTTCACTTACAGAAAACAGTGTCTGTAATTTTAACAATACACATGATACGATGAGAAACCAAGCAATGGTATGTAAAATACAACAAATGAATTTCTGAATGCCAAGACAGTTAACACAGTTGCATGTTATTCTGCCAAAGCAAATTACAGCTGGAAAATCTGTATTAGTAGATGCACTCTGAACACCAGGGTGAAGAATGGGAGCATCCCTACCACACTCTGCTGCCTAAAGCCCTGAAGGCAGGTGGCTACTGCAGACTTGGCCAAAGGTACCAGCCCATGGCCCAGGAGCAGAAACCCAAATGTTTTGTCACACAACCCTCCTTTCCAGGCCAGAAACAGTCTGGCATCTTGTCCCTGCAGCAGGAACATTCTATTTTCTATACTGCTGAGGGAACTTGAACTGATTCAATGGCCTATAACAGCCTTTGGGGGTGGGGGAGGGAGGGGGTGTGTGTTCTGGATTTTATCCTCTCTGTAATTGTGAAAGTCTAACCTCAGAACAAATATAATTCAGAGTTCCACATTTTAAGTGCTTTCTCAGTACCACAGCTGATTACTTATGCAACTTGTGGAAGGAAATCCTCTTGATACCTCTGTTCCACTGGAATAAACCTGAATAACCCTAGAGCAGCACACGAGAAGGTAAAAAGAGAATGCAAAACATGTATTAACTGAAAAGTACAACATACTCAGGATGTCCACTCCTTGTAAAACAGGTCATCAGATTCCTGAACACGAGCAGCACAAGCAATGCACTCCCAAATCACGTAGGAAGGTGGAAAGAGGCCCCAGCCCAGAGCTGCACCAAGCACCACGAATGTAAATGCACAATTAGATCTCAACCAGGAGAGCTGCCAACAGATAGCCAACAACTGACTTGCAAATCACACTGCAAAGGCCTGGCTCGTATGTGATACCAATGACTCACAGTAACCAAAGACTGATTTGCAAGAGGCTCCCAGCAGAAAAACAAAGAAAGGACAGAGGGAACTGACAAAAGCGAGGCAGGTAAAACATGGGTTAGTACAATACCTTCTGACTGTGACGGCGTGAACTTGGTGAGAACCGCAATGTCATCTTTGAAAGGAAAAAACACTTCAGTAAGAACCAGAAGGAAAATTCACTTTAACCCGAACCCATTTCAGAATTCTCCTCCATCCTTTACAATAAAGCAAAAGGATGAGCCCTGGACACCAGAGACTGTGACCTGGACAGAAAGCACGGCACAGGCTCCTCCTGGAACACCAACATTCCCCTTTCTGTCCAGGCACCTCATTCAGCAGCACAAACAAGGATGCCACTCTTCCTTAGCAGGAAACCTTATTCAGCAGCACAAACGAGGATGCCACTCTTCCTTAGGACCATAATAGCTTCTACTAGTCAAGAAAATGCTTTTAAAATTCTTCAGGAAATTACTGCTTCATATCTAAAGATGGAAGTAAAACAATAATATTCTGATAAAATTCTGTATTTAAGAGTATGTCCTTGTTCTCCAACGCTACATGCTTTTTTATGTTTATAAATAGACCTAGAAATATCTGCACACCAAGAACAACAAACAAGGACACTTACTAAACTAAGCGGCTCTTAATCATAAAAATTGTATTAATAGCAGAAACTCCTTGAAATGTTTTTTTTCAAAACTAACTCCAGTACAACTCCCTGACTATTAAAGCCCACTAAATTATTTCAGAAAAGCATAATTTTAGTATTTGTTCAAATCACTGGCCTTCATGGGACTGCATATATATTACCCAAAAGAAGTGCCTCTTTGCAATGTAACTGGTGTCTTCACCAGCCTTACAACTCTCCACACAACTATTACATGTAACCCCTTAAACAAACGTGCCTTGGCAGTGTGCATGTTACTGTAAATAAGCAGCCTTCATATGGCCTATAATTCTGCAGTAAAAGGCAACATATGTTGTCCCAAAGTACACCCAACCACAGGGCAACCTACTTAGAAACTTTTGGTGAAGAATTACAGACCATTTCTACTTCAATTACAGACCTGAATGATGAGAACAACAGTAGCCCACAACACAAATTAACATTCAGTACTGAAGAATATAATCAAGATTGATTTCATCTCTTAAAATATAAGTGGTTTACTCACAAAACAGGTACTTTCATTACTATAATCTTATGATTTCTGTAACAAGCATAAAAAATGGCATCTTGTGTAATTAAACAATCAGAAATTCTACAATACTTCAAATTTGTTCACAGTGCTGGAATCACTTAGTTTTTCTTCATGACAAAAACTGATGAGTTAGGAAGCCTAAGGTAAAAGTGCATGTGTTCAGTGCTACTGCAAAAAAACAGACCTCCCACAGACCCTGTTTTCTGATAATAGCAGCAGCAAGGCAACTGGTGCCAAAAAAGGAACTGCACATTCTCTGGGAGAAATGCAACCTGCCACAGGCCATGTCCTGGCACTATAGCAGTGCCCAACCTGCCACAGGCCATGTCCTGACCACCACTACAGCAGTGCCCAACCTGTCACAGGCCATGTACTGGCACTACAGCAGTGCCCAACCTGTCACAGGCCATGTCCTGACCACCACTACAGCAGTGCCCAACCTGTCACAGGCCATGTCCTGGCACTACAGCAGTGCCCAACCTGTCACAGGCCATGTCCTGGCACTATAGCAGTGCCCAACCTGTCACAGGCCATGTCCTGACCACCACTACAGCAGTGCCCAACCTGTCACAGGCCATGTCCTGGCACAGCAGCAGTGCCCAACCTGTCACAGGCCATGTCCTGGCACTACAGCAGTGCCCAACCTGTCACAGGCCATGTCCTGGCACTATAGCAGTGCCCCAACCTATCACAGGCCATGTCCTGACCACCACTACAGCAGTGCCCAACCTGTCACAGGCCATGTCCTGGCACTACAGCAGTGCCCAACCTGTCACAGGCCATGTCCTGGCCACCACTACAGCAGTGCCCAACCTGTCACAGGCCATGTCCTGGCACTACAGCAGTGCCCAGCCTGTCACAGGCCATGTCCTGGCACTACAGCAGTGCCCAGCCTGTCACAGGCCATGTCCTGGCACTACAGCAGTGCCCAACCTGTCACAGGCCATGTCCTGGCACAGCAGCAGTGCCCAACCTGTCACAGGCCATGTCCTGGCACTATAGCAGTGCCCAACCTGTCACAGGCCATGTCCTGGCACTACAGCAGTGCCCAACCTGTCACAGGCCATGTCCTGGCACAGCAGCAGTGCCCAACCTGTCACAGGCCATGTCCTGGCACTATAGCAGTGCCCCAACCTGTCACAGGCCATGTCCTGGCACAGCAGCAGTGCCCAACCTGTCACAGGCCATGTCCTGGCACAGCAGCAGTGCCCCAACCAGGCAAGTAAAAGCCCAGGACAGACCTAAGCACAGGATTTCTCACTCTGGTGCACTTTTAGGAATGGTTTCAGCTCTGAAGAACATTTTCAGCTTGCAGCACTCTCCTAGATGGAGAAGAAGCACACTCTGGAGGACACTGGAGTCTGGTCCCCAAAACAGGATTGCAGAGAAATCTGCCTTGCTAGGGAGAGAAGGGATTTTAGCCATACAGGTGTGGCTGGACTGTGCTACTCATCTTCAAAAGCCAATGACAAAATCCTTGGCTTTTATAATAACCAGCACAGTCACAGGCATGGATGCTCCAGCCCCTTTAACTGTTCCTAACCTGCCATTTCCCTGGCAGATGACAATTCTTTCACTTCAGCACCCTCAGTAAGTCCCAGTCTGCTGGGAGATGGCAAAGCAAGGAGCTTGGCCGATGATGCTGCACTTGAGTGCAGCTGGGCATGAGACACGCTGCAGTCTGCCACAGTTCAGAGCAACTCTGCCTCAGAAAACAGAGCAAGAGAAGGCCTTTAAGTATTCCTTCCAACTTCTATAACCCTGATTCATCTGCACCACGTATAGCTCTTGACAGATCCTTTATACCACTAAAAACATTTACATATTAAGTGCTTCCAAAATCAGGTGGCAGATGAGGAGACATGTTTAGGGATCAAAATTTGTTTTACTACTAAAGATAGGAAATCATCTGTATTTGCACACCTAAGATCTGTGATAGAGCTACTCCAAAGGAAAAGCCACAGACAGGGTTCTCATGGGGGTGTTGATAAACTGCATTGTTTAGCAGCAGTAAGACATTATTACTATTGATTCAGCTATTTCAATATTGTTTCCAAAATTCTGCTTTCAATTATTTCCACAATTTTCTTAGACACAATAACAGCATCCTTTTCAGCCAACAAAACCAAGCAAGGAGCTTTCAGACCACTGACACTGCTCTACGTCTGTCTGGCACATTGGCATATTAGTTTATACACTGGCCTATCCCTACAGCAAAATTTTGATGGTCCAGGTAAAATGAAAACGAACAAATAAACCAATCCTAACAAATCCTGAAACTTACACTGTGGCTGTTATGAAGTAGCTACTAAGTACTAGGAAGAAAATTCCCAATATTCCTCTTAAACATGCTATGAAAGAAAACATTATTCCTAGATGTCTTGAAGTTACCATCTTAATAAACCCCCTGACATCATGCAATGACCAGGCCTGGCCAAGAGGAAAGAGAAATGAGTCACTGCCTCCAATGAGCACCATAATGACTATTGCAAGTGCTTCCAGATCTAAGGAAAGCAGCTCTACAATGACTTATCAACTAAATGATGCACACACTGATCACATCCTGCAGAGCTGAATGGAGCTGCACTGGGAACTGGAATCCCACCCAGCTGACCTGTAAGAAAGCAAGATGAGGTTATGACTCCAGCTGCTATTGTCTGAAGAGCAGGAACTGTGCTGCTGAGCCAAAGGCTCAATCCTAAAATGATGTGGTGATTCATGCACACAGAGATGCTTCTAAAAATTTAAACTATTTAACAATGAAAACATTCTCAGTGGATCCAAGAAAATCAATTGGGAATATTTGAAAGAATCTTATTAGTCTCTTAAAAAGAAGAAGATTGCATTCAAGTATAGGCTGCTTCACTGACATATTAATTATCTTCATGTGTTTTATTATTAAACAAGTACTTCCAGAGAACAGGTATTTATCAACACATCAGAAGTAAAAGAAAAATAACTGTTTTACATAGGGATAAATATTTGGAAATCTGTTCCTAACAGTAAGAAAATCTCATTTAGCATTTGGAAAAGACACACAGTCCTAGTCCTAATCTCCAGTATAGTAACTGGGTATTTTACATCAAAATGGGACGTTTACCTTCAGCTGCCTCCCTTTTACTGAACCACAAAACCACCTCCTCTTTTGATTACAAGCCACTGGGATAGCAAAAAAGGGAATACATTAAACAAAAAGAGAAGTTGTGCAAATCTGTTTTTAGCAAAAAAACCCACAAACACAGCGTCGTAACAGAGAACTTGAATGGATTTTAATGCAATTCAGGTAACAACCATCATTATTTTATGTACCAGCACAGGCAAGACCCAAAGCATGCTGTGAGCATTCAGACCACCCAGGTACCATTGCTCTGCAGGATGACACACATAAACTGATTCATAGGTTCAAATGCAGTTAAAAAAGAAAGCCTAGACGGGCAATAGTTGCATAAAGCCAGGTATTTTTAAACTGAACACCTCACAGCATCATTTACTGATCCATTTCTCCAAACTCCACTGAAATCACTGATGCAAACCCTTAGGCAACAGTCCCCAATTTCTTTCCACGTTTGCAATACACAAGCGTCCCAAAGTACTGGAGGGCACAGTGAACTATTCATTCTGTGCACACACATTGCACTCCCACCCTTTTATGAGAGATCTTCTACAGATGTTCCAAATGAAAGGGGATACATCAACTAGGAAACTAATGATGCAAATATAGCAATATATTCTTTTTAAAAATCACCTCAAATTTACTGTCCTCTGGTGGTATTCCTCGATTTCATGTTATCCAGACATTTAATTTCAGATGGCCAATTTAAATGGCAAGTTTTTGTTCCTTCTGGTTCTTCAAGCTCTACCTCACTCAGTACTTTTCTGGTTATGCTTCCAATGAAATGCACCATTGCAAATTTTGCTACTGTATTCACAAAGT